TGGATTAATTCTGAAATCAAGTGACACTTTTAATTACGTGTTGATGGAATCCAGTCACCTACTTTGTGACATCTGAAGGCAATTGCTTGCAACAGAGCATATTTGGGAAAATGTGAGGGGTGTACTCACCTCTGTGAGGTACTGTGTGTGTATGTGTGTGTGTATATATATATATATATATAGTTTGTGTAGTAATGTATATTTAATATACACACATAGACACATTTCTTTGTGTCTCCTGCAGCCTCTGTCTTCCTCCCACTTGCTCCCTCTCCCTCTCTCTGCTGAGGATGCTGGGAGACATTTGCTAGAAGTGTGTAGGCAACGGGACTCTATAAATAGCTGTGTCTCTCAGTCTGATCATTGCACCAATCCGTACATTCCAGCATCCAGTAGCAGTAAACGTAGCAATGCATCAAATGCACCCCAAACACCTATACCCAGCATACCTGCACCAAGTGATCTAGTATAACTATCACACAAACATCTATACTGTGTATAAATAAATGTATATTTAGTGTATACGTGACCCATTGCAGAGATTGCATAGTGACATAGAAACAGTGGGCGCGCTTACAGTACATTCTATTGACAAACCAGAGGAGTAGCTTAAAATAGAAGAGGCAAAAGTAAGCTTGTTCCCAACACAAGCATTTAACCCTCGAGAGGTGAGAGATGTATTTGGCTCAATGATGGCTAACAAACTCTCAGTGACTGACAGGGTTTGTTTGCAACACTTATGGTTAACTTTAGCTCCTACATGTTTGTTTCTTACCTACAATTCCCATGATCCTCAGCCAGCCTTAAAGTTGGCTGAGAGTCATGGGAAATATAGGATATCTGTCAAATGCTGATTTTTGGTTGCAGCATTGCCACAGTTCTACTCATGACTGCACTCAATACTAATACTGACTGTAATACCACTATGTCATTCCTGAACCGTTTACCGAAATTGTGACAGCTATTCACCCAATCCTGCTTTTTGTATGCATATATTATAAACTGGGAATTGCAGAGAATTAACAAGGAAATTTCAGATTAATCAGAAAATCAGAAACAAAAATTAATTATTATCCAAGTATATTACTATTTTGATTTATCTTGATTTACAATAAATACTGATATATTAATGAAAAAAGAACTACTGGCAACGCTGCTGACACTATCAGGATTATTGACTTAACTCTGAATTTTCCCAATCTAAAGCATTTAGATTTTTTCCAGATCAGATTTTTTTGCATCTTTTATTCTATTTAGTAATTCACAAAAACACAGATTTTTGCGAATAACCACGTTTAGATTATGTATTAACCAACTGAGCTTTCTGAATAATGTAAAGAAATACTGTGATTTGAGGCTTGGGAAGCAGATTGGAGATAACAGAAATAAAGTATTGCTACTACACCTGCTTTTAGTTGGTTAATTTACCTTGTTTTGATTGTGGCTAATTTTATAGATTTTTACTTTTGTGTTTTTAAATTGTGTTAGTTTTGGGGGCTTTTCCACTCTAGTACCATGGTAGGTAGATATATAATTTAGGCTTTTTCCGCAGACCCTTACTCCTCAATCTATTTCCTACTTCTTCACCCTGTCCCCTAAGCCTAACTCCTCTTCGAGTTATCTAACAGGTGTATACACTAAAGTAAGAATTGTAAGTAAATTTCAAATTTAAGGCTAAAATAACCGAATTGGAATAATTTTCTGAATCAGCTATGCTTTGAGTTTGGTTGTTGTGGCCTCAAATTTGAAGGTCACTTTCAATTATCACTTAATTGAATAACCCTGTAAGTATTTCAACTTTTTGCTAATGTCTAACTGTAACAGCTCAGCCTATATCCACACTCTAATCCCTAATCCTTGTCCATTACCATATCCTCTATTTTCTAACTACTCATCTTCTTCCCTAACTACTCACCTAATTGTGCTGTGATGAATGTGGTTATTGGTTTGTCCATAGTCAATTAGGTGACAGCAATCAAACAGACTAGCAGTTACAGTATAAATTGTTGATGTCTAGTTATGATTGCTATTGTTATTAAACTCTAGTTGTTGAAACTGTGGAAGCAAAGCATTGCATCTGCAAGAATTTAACTTTAATGTTTGTTTGTGAAAACTTTGTATGCAAATAAAGTAAGAATGCCTGGGACATTAACTTTGGCTTTATTGTATAATCCCAATATCTCAATATAAGATCACAACAGTATGAGAAAGAAAAATGAAACCATCACCCAACAGTGGAGATCCACAGAACTTAAAATAGTGTTTGCTGAGGCATCCACGCGAGGAGCCACTATAAGACACATGCCGAACTGGCTTTTGGGTAACATCGGCCTTGCACCGGTGTGGATTTGGAACCATATTTGGAACATATTGTTTTACTACAATTTTTTTATTATTATTCAAATTATATGTACAAAATTATTTGATTTTAGTGCATGTATTTTATACAATTATATATATATATATATATATATATATATATATATATATATTATCTGATAATTGTGACAGAAAGCTAATTCCTAGACATACAGTAGACAGCTGCTCCAGTACCACTTAGGACTTGGATGTATGAAGCAGTAATCAGGCTGCAGTAATTAGATCCCCTGCAGCCTAGTTCAATCTAGCCGACCAGTTCAATCTCATAGATGTGTAGTGGCATTTGTGATGTTAATAGAATCTCTGAGTGTCTTGTATGTTCGATAATAAAGTCTTACTCTTGGTTAAGAGAGCTATTGGCTTGAAAGACATGTTTATTGCCCATACCATACCTACTTGTGTTTTAACCCCTTAAGGACCAAATTTCTGGAATAAAAGGGAATCATGACATGTCAGACATGTCATGTGTCCTTAAGGGGTTAAAGGAAAGGGGAAGTACAGTTACACCACTGGACAAAAATAGGGTTATTTTCTAAACAAGGAAATTTCAGAAATTGACTTGGGGATTTCAAATTGAATCAGACGCATTCTACAATTTTTCTATTTTCATCTATTTTTCCACCTTGTCGATTTTGGTCAAATATTTGCATAATGTTAAGTCCAAGCAAGTCGCTGTAAATAATCCTTAAGTCTCTTTTCATGTCTCAAAATATATACCTATGCTTGAGCCCTAAACCTTATAAAGGTATCTTATGTACAGATCACGGAATCTTAGTAATGTAAAAGCTTTTTTGTTGTTGTTGATTTCATTATACTCCTACACCCAACAGAGATGCTGCATTTAAAAAAAAAAAAAACAACTAATTTTCCTCCCAACATTCTGATCTTATGGGTTAGTATTCTAGTTTGGAGCTAGAAGTTCTAATTCCTTACTTGGTCTAGAATGCTCATTGCTAAACATGTTCTGGCTGTCATGTCCTTGTATGTTCGTCCAAGAAACATCATCAACTGTCTTTGAATTCTCCTAATGGTCTATTATCTTTCTACCCAAACCTAGAATTCTATCTTGACAGATTATAACTATTTCTTCTTCCATGAATGAGTTTTCCACGTGCTAACCCAAGTCTTTAGTACTCATCAATAACTCTCACATCCTGTCCTAAATTATGTCCTATCATACCCACCCTTGAATATTTTATCTTGTATACTTGCACTATCATTCCCAATTTATCAGTTCTCCCAAGCATGCTTCATTAATAAGCCAGTTCTGCCATGCTCATACGTGTGCATAAGTTCTTAATCTTTCTTTCAAGAAAAGCAGTTTTTGTACTAGGCAGTTAACCTCAGCTCATGATATGCTCACCAAACAGGAAGGGATAAAGATGCTAGTCTCCTCCTCCCCTCCCCCCCTCCATCCTCCACATAGGGACGGTGATTGAGACCAAGCAAAGTTATGGTTTTGGGAGTTTTCTTACTCCTCCTTGGTGATAAAGAGTGCTGGGGTCCACTGCAGTATTGCAGTCTAGTGGATTTAACAGTTTTCAGGTGTTGCTTACTAACAATGATGGTGGAAATAGTGTTTCACAGGGGTTTCTACAAATTGGGAAATGCTACCTGAGGTTGGGCTCCTTCAGTGCCAGTAATTCCATCCATGAAGTATAGTCTGTTCTCCATTATTACTAACTCCATCCATGGGGTATTATTATTACTAACCCCATCCATAGGATATTATTATTACTAACTCTATCCATTAGGTAGTATTATTAGTAATTCCATCCATGGGGTATTATTATTATTAATAATAACTCCATAGTTCAGGGTGTTATCATTACTAAATCCACTTATGGGATATTATAACTCTGTATATTGTGTATTATTATCACTAACTCCATCCATGGGTATTATTATTATTACTTCCATAGTTCAGGGTGTTATTAATACTAACTCTATTCATGAGGTATTATTATTATTATTAACTCCATAGTTCAGGGTGTTATTATTACTGATTCCATCCATGAGGTATTATTATTATTATTATTATTATTATTAATACCTCCATAGTTCAGGATGTTATTATTACTGATTCCATCCATGAGGTATTATTATTAATACCTCCATAGTTCAGGGTGTTATTATTACTGATTCCATCCATGAGGTATTATTATTATTATTAATACCTCCATAGTTCAGGATGTTATTATTACTGATTCCATCCATGAGGTATTATTATTATTATTGTTATTATTATTGTTATTATTATTGATAATAACTCCATAGTTCAGGGTGTTATCCTCCCATACCCCCATACCCCGGGCAGTACTTGCATTAATCCCAGGTAGTGTCTGACTCCCCCATATCTCTCCGGCCGAGCTCTGTCCGCGGTGCTGGATAGTCACGTGACTCGCTCCCCCCACCATCCCGGAGCTCGGGAGACTCGGGACCCGCCGGAGAGCTCCGAGCACCGGGAGCGGGGCTGGGGGAGGAGCGAAGGGGCTGCGGGCACTGGGGACGTGCCGGGGGAGGAGCGGGCTGAGCGTGCACCGGGTGTCGGAGAAGGAGTATCGGTGACCGGGGGGGAAGGAGCGGGGGCTCCGGCAGAGGGTGCACCCCGGGGGGCCGTAGGCGGGGCTCCGAGCCCAGGCCACAAGATGCAGAGGCTCCGGCTGAACGAGGCTCACGCCGTGTACCTGGGGCAGCTCGCCCGCAAGGACGGCACCCGCCGGGGGATCCTCAGCAAGAGGAGCTCGGATAACAGCCGATGGCAGAGCCGGAGCTTCTCCCTCCTGCACAACCTGCTCTTCTGCTTCGAGAGCGAGTCCAGCGGCCGCCCGTGTGGGCTCTACCTGCTGGAGGGCTGCAGCTGTGAGCGGGGGGCCAAGGGACTACCAGACAAACAGGTACCGGACTACGGGACTACATATTACAGGTCATACATGCAGTGTGCCGGGAACATACATCTTACATATAATGCAGTGTTCATATCACATGGCTAGAGGGGTGATATAATGCAGTATGTTGGGTTTAATGACAGGTGCTTATCACATGGGTAGAGGGGTGATATAATGCAGTATGTTGGGTTTAGTGACAGGTGCTTATCACATGGGTAGAGGGGTGATATAATGCAGCGTGCTGGATTAAATTACAGGTAAATGTTACATGGGTAGAGGGGTGATATAATGCAGTGTGCTGGATTAAATTACAGGTAAATGTTACATGGGTAGAGGAGTGATTTAATGCAGTATGTTAGGTTTAATGATAGGTGCTTATCACATGGGCAGAGCAGTATGTTAGGTTTAATGACAGGTGCTTATCACATGGGTAGAGGGGTGATATAATGCGGTATGTTGGGTTTAGTGACAGGTGCTTATCACATGGGTAGAGGGGTGATATAATGCAGTGTGCTGGATTAAATTACAGGTAAATGTTACATGGGTAGAGGGGTGATATAATGCAGTGTGCTGGATTAAATTACAGGTAAATGTTACATGGGTAGAGGAGTGATTTAATGCAGTATGTTAGGTTTAATGACAGGTGCTTGTTACATGGGTAGAGGGGTGATATAATGCAGTATGTTAGGTTTAATGACAGGTGCTTATCACATGGCTAGAGGAGTGATATAATGCAGTGTGCTGGATTAAATTACAGGTAAATGTTACATGGGTAGAGGGGTGATATAATGCAGCATGTTAGGTTTAATGGCAGGTGCTTATCACATGGGTAGAGGGGTGATATAATGCAGTGTGCTGGATTAAATTACAGGTAAATGTTACATGGGTAGAGGGGTGATATAATGCAGCATGTTGGATTAAATTACAGGTAAATGTTACATGGGTAGAAGGGTGATATAATGCAGTATGTTGGATTAAATTACAGGTAAATGCTACATGGGTAGAAGGGTGATATAATGCAGTATGTTAGGTTTAATGACAGGTGCTTATCACATGGGCAGAGCAGTATGTTAGGTTTAATGACAGGTGCTTATCACATGGGTAGAGGGGTGATATAATGCAGTGTGCTGGATTAAATTACAGGTAAATGTTACATGGGTAGAGGGGTGATATAATGCAGTATGTTAGGTTTAAGGACAGGTGCTTATCACATGGGCAGAGGGGTGATCCACTGCAATTTGTTGGGTTTAATGAGAGGTACTTATTACATGGGCAAAGGGGTTGCTATAATGTGGTGTGCTGGATCCAATGACAGTTACATATTACATTGTCATAGGAATGATATAGTGCAGTGTGCTGGGTCCAAGAGAGACTCATACATATTGCATAGTAATAGGGGTGGTATATGGCAGTGTGTTGGGTTTAATGGCAGGTTCATATTACATGGTTAGAGGGGGTGATATAATGCAATGTGCTGGGTCCAAGACAGGCAGGTATATATTACATAGGCAGAAGCAGTGATGTATTGCAATGTGCTTTGACCAAAACAGACCGGGATATGTTGCATAAGCAGATGGGGTGATATAATGTAACGTGCAATGTCCTAGACAGGCCGTTTTATATATTTCATGGACATAGGAAGTGTTCTAATGCAATATGCTGGATCTTAGACAGGTAGGTACATATTACATGGATACAGGGGGTGATGTAATAAAATGTGCTGGATCCAAGACAGACACGAACATACTACATGGGAAGAGGGGGTGATAAATTGCAATGTGCTGAGTCCTAGACCTATAGGTACTTATTACATAGGCAGGGGAGGGCCACATAATGTAATGTGCTGGGTCCAGGAAAGATACATATTACATGGGCAGAGGGGCTGGAATGGACTAGGGGGGCTGGACAGCCAGGTACAGAATGCATGGGAAGCAGGGGTGATATAATGCAGTGTACATGGGGACTGGACAGACAGGTACATATTACTCGGGTAGGTTGACTGATATAATCCAATGGACGAGGAACTCAGATAAAACAGGTATATTTTACATGGACTGTGTGGTGATATAATGCAATTTGCTGGGTCCAGGACAGACGGGTACATAGTACATAGAGTGCTACATAGAGGGATCCTAAATAGACAGGTACATATATGCACAGAGGGATGATTTAATGCTTTATACAGGGAGACCAGATAATCAGGTGTGTATGTATATATATATATATATATATATAGACAGAGGGGTTATTTAATTCTTTATACGGGGGCGGATAAACAGGTATTTATTTGGACAGAGGGGTGATTTAATGCTTTATATAGGGGCCTGGATAAACAGGTACATATTGACCGAAGAAAGGATTTGATGCTGTGTGCAGGGTCCTGGACAGACTGGTACATGGGTAGAATAGATGACATGTTGCTAGGGTGATTGGGAAATTAGTTCATATTCTATGAGTAGAGGAGCTGAATTAATGCTATGTGTCGTATCCATGGACAGGGCAATACATCTGTATCAGACAGACAAGTAGGTAGATTCTGGGCAGAGAAAATGACATGATAGGTAGTGGAGATGTTATCCTGGCCTGGTTTGTGCAGAGAGGTAGATATTTTTGTTAGAGGAGATGGCATGCTACTCTGTGGAGACAGGCAGAGGAGAAAACATGCAGATGCTGGATACAAAGAGGTATGTGGGTAGAGGGGATTACATGCAGCCAGGGACCTAGAGGTAGGTATGTGGGTAGAGGGCATGGCTTGCAGCTAGGTATATAGAGGTAGGTATGTGGGTTGAGGGGATGGCATGCATGCCACTAGGTACATAGAGGTAGATATGTGGGTAGAGGGGATGATATGCTTCTAGGTACATAGAGGTAGGTTTGTGGGTAGAGGGGATGGTATGCTTCTAGGTACATAGAGGTAGGTTTGTGGGTAGAGGGGATGGTATGCTTCTAGGTACATAGAGGTAGGTTTGTGGGTAGAGGGGATGGTATGCTTCTATATATATATATAAAAAATCTATATCTCTCGCTATCTATCTATCTCTCTCGTTAGTTGGATGACAGGTAGATATATGAATAGAGGGATGCCAGGCTGCTATATGCAGAGAGGTAGATATATGTGTAGAGGGATGCCAGGCTGCTATATGCAGAAAGGTAGATATATGTGTAGAGGGATGCCAGGCTGCTATATGCAGAGAAGTAGATATATGAATAGAGGGATGCCAGGCTGCTATATGCAGAAAGGTAGATATATGTGTAGAGGAATGCCAGGCTGCTATATGAAGTGAGGTAGATATATGTGTAGAGGGATGCCAGGCTGCTATATGCAGAAAGGTAGATATATGTGTAGAGGGATGCCAGGCTGCTATATGAAGTGAGGTAGATATATGTGTAGAGGGATGCCAGGCTGCTATATGCAGAGAGGTAGATATATGTGTAGAGGGATGCCAGGCTGCTATATGCAGAGAGGTAGATATATGAATAGAGGGATGCCAGGCTGCTATATGCAGAAAGGTAGATATATGTGTAGAGGGATGCCAGGCTGCTATATGCAGAGAAGTAGATATATGGGTAAAGGGCTGCCAGGCTGCTATATGAAGTGAGGTAGATATACGTGTAGAGGGATGCCAGGCTGCTATATGCAGAGAGGTAGATATATGTGTAGAGGGATGCCAGGCTGCTATATGAAGTGAGGTAGATATATGTGTAGAGGGATGCCAGGCTGCTATATGCAGAAAGGTAGATATATGAGTAGAGGGATGCCAGGCTGCTATATGCAGAAAGGTAGATATATGTGTAGAGGGATGCCAGGCTGCTATATGCAGAAAGGTAGATATATGTGTAGAGGGATGCCAGGCTGCTATATGCAGAGAAGTAGATATATGGGTAGAGGGCTGCCAGGCTGCTATATGCAGAAAGGTAGATATATGTGTAGAGGGATGCCAGGCTGCTATATGCAGAAAGGTAGATATATGAATAGAGGGATGCCAGGCTGCTATATGCAGAAAGGTAGATATATGTGTAGAGGGATGCCAGGCTGCTATATGCAGAAAGGTAGATATATGTGTAGAGGGATGCCAGGCTGCTATATGCAGAAAGGTAGATATATGTGTAGAGGGATGCCAGGCTGCTATATGCAGAGAGGTAGATATATGTGTAGAGGGATGCCAGGCTGCTATATGCAGAGAAGTAGATATATGGGTAAAGGGCTGCCAGGCTGCTATATGAAGTGAGGTAGATATACGTGTAGAGGGATGCCAGGCTGCTATATGCAGAGAGGTAGATATATGTGAAGAGGGATGCCAGGCTGCTCTGGGCAGGCCATTGGATAGGACTTCTCTGTCGTAAAGATGGGATATGTGTTTGGACAGAAGGCCTGGGCTGACAATGGGCTGCTGCAGTGTAATGAACAGGGTATCCATGGGAAATAAATGTATACACTGCTGCAAGATTAGCCAAACGTAGATTAGATCTTCACCTCACTTAAATGCTGCATAACATTGTGGATATTGTTGTTATAAAACAATGTACGGTTCTGTCTTTGGCCACCCCTGTACTAATTCGCAGGTACAAACATCTGACAGTAACAGGAAGCCGTGTGTTTGGGGTTGGGGAGTATAGATGGATAGAAGGAGTATATATCAAATGGAAGCTAATATAATCCTTGACAGTCAGTGCAACGGTGGTGATAGGTTTATACAAGGTGAAGCAGCGCCGAGGCCTAGACTGTCAGGTAAATAAATAAGCAACAGATAGAATCCAAGATACAGACAAGGAGGGTGTCAGAATCAATTAGGAAGAGGCAGAGTTCTTGCTGTGCCTAATTAGCTTAATTGTTAGATTGATTATTAGGTTTATGTGCATATTTAGCAGGGTGCCGCTTTAGAGTGCCCTAATCCTGCACAAGTGGCTGTATTAAATAATTTGAGAATGTATACATCAGTAATGAAGATATTGCACTGTATAAACACATATAGGATGCATGTATGGAGTAAATACTGTCTGCGCTGCTGTGAACCTAGAGGGTCAGATTTTTTGAGAACAAGTAGTCTGGCACAAGTATCACTTTTCTTCTAGGCGTATGTCTGCTGAAATCTGTGATCACGGCAGGATTCAAGTCCAAAAAAAATTGGGAACTCCTCAAGTTCACCACTCTTTCCCATCTGTCAGGTAGCTCACAACACCTCTCTCTTAACTATCCTATATGAAAAGAAAAATCCTCCTGAAAATTACCCTTTAGTTCTCCTTAGTTCCAGACAGTGTTATTTATTTAAGTGATAACTGTCCAGAATTGTAAATTAATTTGAAATTTAGGGCAAAAGTAACCATTCCGGAAGCATACCTGACAGGGTGAATTTATCCAAATTAGCCAATTTAGACCTTAAAGTGACACTTTTGGAACCCAGACCACTTCTCACATTACAGTGAAGTGGTCTGGTTGACATGTCCTTGTAATTTTAAGCCTACAGCTGCAAATATTGCATTTCTGCAGGAACGGCAGTGTTTACATTGCAGCGTTTAAATGCCTCTAGTGGCTGTTGCTCTGACAGTCATATAGGCACGTTTGGAGAAATAGCCAAGTAAAAGAGATCATCCGATAGGTGCAGTCTGGCGTTTTGCAGCATGCACTAACCACCCAATGCTTTGGATTGGTTGAGATCAGCGATCTTGATGATCTCAGTCATGTAGGCAGGAAAAGCTGCAGAGAGCACATCGTGGCTTGGGAGGAAAGATAAGTGAAAGTTACCCTTTCATGTGCTCCGGAAGAGAGGGGGGTGAGTCAACCGCTACAGAACACTAGTTTTGAGAACATACATTTGTATTCCTTACACTATAGTGTTCCTGTAAATTCCTGATAATTCTCATTTTAGTGAAAAACCCTGAGAGTGTTCAACCTACAGACTGGGTAAATCCTTGTAATATGAATGCCCCACCAAACTATGGTTTTACACTTTTCCTCTTTGCATATCTTCCTTCTGTATATGTTGTCTGCCAGGATTTGTTTTCCTGGCACTGGAGAGTTCCTTTAAGCAAGAGGGAAAGGTTGATCCCTGGTGGGCTGTCAAGTCTGCACCTACATCTGGTGCAGACCATAAGTAATGCTGTGTTCCTTCAGGCAGGCATTGGTGAAGAATCAGAGCATTGCCATGGTAACCTGCAGCAATGCTCTTATGCTCTCCAAGGAGCAAAACACACAGCCTGAAACTGCTGGAGGTGCAGACCTCAAGCTCCCTGAGATGCCTTTCAGCAGCCTGCTGGGCGTTTGACGCTTGTTCAATGGCCAGTATGCAGGCATCAGAGATGGTCTGTCTCCAAGGCCAACGTTGTGCGTCATCAAATAGGTACCTCTGCTGCGCCTCTGGGTTTAATAGTCAGATGCCGAAATGTGAACAATTAACACCCAATCATACAGCATTACACACATTCAATGTGAACGATAATATTTTATTCACTTCTAGATCATTGGGGACTGGAACTGACCACGATAAAACCATGACAGGAGAAGCACAAGATATAATAGCTGCATGAAGTTAAAACATTTCTTAATTTGCTTTTCAACAGTTTTAAAATACCCAGTGCTCTGTATAGGTCCTTTCTTCACAATAAATGTATTGGACCTCCGTTCCCTTGGAAAATATAGTAAGGAACTGAATCCCATTGAGTTCCCACTGCTCTAGAATCCTCTATCAAGTTATAATAAATATATTTATTTAAATAAAGATATAATCTGACAGGCAGAAGCAGGTTTATACAGCTGGGGAACTCATTCAAATTTGGGTTTAGATAAACTAGGTAAAATACACGATTGGAAGCACTATAGGATATGGTCAGACTGCATTCTCTATGAATGGACAAGTAATTGTGTGTATGAAAACCAAAAATATAGAAAGCGAATAGTGTGATCAGGATGGATAAAAACTACGTTTAAGAGGTATAATGGACTAGAGCAAGTTTACAGTCACTTTTAATTGCAGGCAGAGTGAGTACCTATCTAAGCATATGTAATATGCCCAGGACATAATTGAAAACGACAGAAATCTCAATGTATCCTTCCTGGTAAAATATTTTATAAATATTATGTAGATTAATATGTAGATATGCATTATGTTCTGGAGCCTTAGGTTGTATGAAGATGGGGCACTATTTAAAGATTACTTATAGTCCTTTCAAATGTTATGCTATTTTTGTTAAGGCAAGTGAATATTCTTTCTAGGGAAACATAATACTAGATGCAGTAAAGAGTGATATATATATAATACCAGGACATAAACACAGGTAAGTAGAAGATCTACTCTAGGTTTCGGTATTATGAAGGATTTTTATCTTTAAATACTACTGGGTATATAGCACATATATATTCAAACAAGGGACACTATGAACATAGATTTGTTCAGAAGTATTGTAGTGCATGTGTTCTACTTCTATAAATAAGGTGATCATTTTGCCAATACAAACAAAGCTTATACTAACTAGATCCTGCAGAGCAGCAGTGGTTATTAGATCTGGAGGTTCTTTTCAGTCCAAACTGTGATTTGTCCGAATTTGGGCCAATCCATAATCTATCGAATTCCCTAACTAGGAGTCGAAATCCTGAATAAAAAACCAAAAAGCTGCACAATGGCCAAACATGTTTGTTTTAATTCGTGATTTTGAGTTCTGCCTGTGGCGCCAAAAAAGAGCCAGGTTTTCAGTACGGGAATTCTACTGAGAGGAATTAATATGTGGTCGAAATTCATGTGTTCCGAAAAATTTAACATTTTCTGGAAAACTGGTTCTGCCAAACCTAACTTTCTCGTCATGCAAAGGTATAATGATTACCTTGAAGCCCTGCAGTTTATTCTACTTTGGGAGTAAGGTAACCTGCAATAAAGATGCAAATATTAATGCAGAGATGTATAGGATTAAACTTTTGGAATAGATCAGTCTTTCATGACCGTTTGTGGTTACAGAACAATAGTGGTCGTGCAGTAGAAGAACACAAGTAGTTCATAAATAGGTTAAGGGCCTATGTAGCAAAAGAGAGAAAAGCTGTACTTTAATATTGAGACATGCTGTGCAGTGTATTAATATGGTTGGTTATGACTTCAGAAACAGTGCAATGAGTTACATGGAGTTATTGGGAGATGAATGTGTATTGGGGAAGGGAAGAGCACTGAATTAGCCCAGATTAGTTTTTTTTATTAGTGTGTCAAAACATACAGGATAGTTATAGAATCTGCCTACAGCAGAGTATGTATTGGTTGGTATAAAGTTAGTTCTAGGATGAAACATCTGCAAAGTATTAGTGAAAAGTACAAAATAGTTCTAGAATGAGGTAGCCTGTAGAAGAGAAATGATCATGCAAGGATATTTATAGCATGTTAAGCCTCTGTGAGAGAGCACTGAGGAATATAGAAAAATGATAAGATAACTCTTCTAAGAGAGCAATGATGTATACAGGGTATTTACAAGATTATCATTGAAAAGAAACAGGATATTTTTATGATTATGTAGAAGAAAGGTATACAGGTTATTTATAAGGTTATTCTGTAAGAGAATGAAGCATAAGGTATTTATAGGGTTATGAGCAGTATGTGATAGTTATAGTTTGAGTGATGAGGATTATTGATAGCTAATTGTCTCAGCAATAAAAAGGGAGGGCTGTAGGATACGTAGTGGGCTATGCTCATGCAAGTTTACAGCAATGGGTAAATAAGAGGCATAGGGTAAGAGAACTCATCAGTGAGGTATTACAAGACATGTATTAAAAGGCAAATTGCAATTGAGACAATATAGTTATAGATTGAGCAATACTGTAAATGGGCATTTAAAGGGGCACCACAAGAACCATAATGACTACAGCTCATGTCAGGGCATAAAGGACATGTCAGGAGTCCCCAAGCACCATCCAGTGTTAAGCAGTCAAACCAGTTTTAAATGGTTTGGCACTTTCCTGGATTCCCTAGGTGCCCACAGTTCTTTTGGTCTTCTCAATATCACAATGCTACAATTTAAAGAAATTTAACATTTAATAACATCTTCTGAATTTGGCTGAGAACCTATTTCATAGCCATAAGACTTGCCCAGTGTATTATTTTTGTTGCCCCTATAGGTACAAAAACAAGGAGGAGGCTACTATTAAACCATGGTGAATATGTGATATTCTCAAACCCTTCTGGCCATTCCTCTCAACCACCAAACCTTCTACAGTTTTTTGGGGACTTCTTGTCTACAAAATGTCTCTACCTGGGACACGGAGATTCACATATTCCTATCTAATATTTGGAATGCTAAATTGTCACTATCTAGCACGATAGGGGATCTGGTCAGCTTTCATGTTATGAATAGATTCGGATTAGGAAGAATATTTACCTCAGGAAGTTTTTCAAATATTTACAAATCAGGTATGTTTAACACATAAAACCATTATGCTGGTAGCATCACTCAATATGCCAATATTATTAGCTCCATATTGCCATACATGTGCCCATGATCATAATGAATCACCATCTGTTATGGAGCACTTATCCCATAAGCAACCCCTGCTAAATGTGCCTACATGCAAAATCAGGAACACAAGCAAATCAATCACAGCCTCATGATAATATTTTTATAAGGTGTTCCTCACTTCCACATATTTCCAACAGTCAGGAATGTGGCAAGTTTAGTTCCCTGCTTCCTTACGATAATGGCTTTGTCCTGTCCTCATACCACTATACAAAAGTTGCCTCTAGGGCCAGAAATCAGGAATCAGAAAACAACGTATCATATTTTATTTTCCTTGTTGCAACATTATTGGCTAAAATTCAATGCTGGAAATATCAAATGATCCAAAACTTCACCACAATAAGATCAATTATTTTTCCAAACCATGATTGGGAACAGACTCATAATTTGTATGATGAATTGATCAGGATACCAGGTGTGTGTTGTCTCCCACGCTTCCTTAGAAACATAAGAGACAACAGAATATTAGATGAGCGTCCTTGCAACATATGCACATCTATGATGTAATGATGGTATTCCTTGTGCATTGACATGACAGTGCTCAAATCTATACTTCACCTTTTTCCTAGATTGCCATCTTTTATCTTCTGCTCTCTTCTTCTTAGTGGCATCATACATTTGCTTCTTGAAATTCTAATATATAAAAAATATAAACATTATATAGTATATAAAAATATAATGGGCTGCCCTATGACTAACGGTACCCTAGCCTTGCTACAATTTAAAGAAATTTAACATTTAATACCATCTTCTGTGCTTTTTCTTTCCCATAAGTGCTCAACCTTTCTTATTTCCACCTCTGCAATATATTAGAAATTAGAGTATCCCACTAGTATTATATTCTTCGCCTTCTTTAATACTGCAGTGGGAGGCATAGAGAATCATTGTTATGGCATCAGCTGGGAAATGCTTATCTACTTCCGTGTTCAGTTATCCCGCCCTTGTAGTTGTGTTATATGTAAGATAGGACATACTACCAATATTTACGAACCTTGCACATCTGTGTGAGCTGTTATCCACTGTACCTATTAGTATGTATTAATAATGGCATGTCATTTTTCTATGTGTATAGGCGTATATGTATATTGGGTTTATTTGATTTTGGGATATTTATGCATATTTTTGCACATGTACTGATGCTTTTTAAGAATGAAACAGCTGGAAATCTAGCATTGTGACACATTGTATGCTAGTATAGAATTACTTTAAAGCTGTATTAATGATTTAATTGAATTGTTGTTCAAATAAATCTGTAGATGTTTAGTCAGTGTCAAGAAGCAATGCTTAGAACCATTGCCCCTACTACCCTTTTATTCTGTTGATGACCCCTACACTATGTACATAAAAATAAATACATGTGATTTTTTTTTTTCTTTTTGTCCTGTACTGCATATCCTATTCATGTATCTTTAGTGTGCAGTTGGTGTCTATTCTGTATTTGTGTTTTGATTTTTTTTTTCTTGGTAATATGCAGAATGTGTTTTTGTTTTTATTTGATTTGTATTCAATCAAATTAAAACCTTGTGTATTCCTGGCATTCTGCTGGTCTTGTTCTATTTTCACAGTATTATTTTATCATCAATTTTAATCATGAGAATCAGAAGCCGCTGGAACTCCGGACGGAGGATTCAAAGGATTGCGATGAGTGGGTGACAGCAATATCACGTGCCAGGTAAAGTTTGCACTACACCGACTCACATATAATACACCCACTGCATCCAGATTACATACACACACCACCCGCTCAGTCTGGGCCTCAAACAAAATAATGCAGCTGAGACGAAACAACACACTTCGAGGAAACCATAAATATATAAATGAAATAGATCATGTTACATTCGCTGTGCCCATATTACACCCACTGAACATGTGGCGTGGAAAACCACACATGGCACCTGCTGTGCCCAAACAGCACATAGAGCATCTGACACAATGAAACGAAAGAGCAGCAATTGTGCAACAAGCACCCAACCTAGGTACTGGAAAGAGATACAGAAGTGGTCCTACAACCACTCCAACCCTCAGTCAACCTTTAGCAAAATCCTTGTTTGTCTGGAACAAAACTGTGCAGTTTGTTAGGAGGCAGTGGGGAGGGGAGCACTGTGATAATAAGCTATAATTTCAGAAAAAAACTTAATGCTGGTTGAGGGACATCTGCGCTGGATTCAGGTAAGTCACTGAAGGGGTTTTAACCCCTTCAGCGTCGTGGGAGGGGGTGCGAGGGAGGGTGGTACTTTAAGATTATATAGTGCCAGGAAAACACCTTTGTGTTCCTGGCACTATTGAATCCCTTTAATTTTCTAAAGCATACTGAGTACTTGGTTAAAAGTTATGTGCCAAGCATAACTGTCTTCAGCACCATGGACAACGATTTCTTCCCACTGCAATTGACCCCTTTAGTATATAGCATGAATTACTGTCTTTTCAATATTTGCCTTGCATTTATGAACAAATACAATCAAAGGTAAGGATCTATTTCACCCACAACACATGGCCCCAAGAACTACTGGAAATACAATCTGAACTGTCCTCTGATCTTCTGGACTATATCTATTGCACTTAGAACTACTGGATTACTTCCAGTGTATTGGAACGTTCATGACTATGTCTTTTGTACTCTTAACTCTCAACAAATCTGTAATTCATGGGCTATACACTCCTTTATTATTTTGGTACAGCTGGACTAAAATCAGTACTTTTGGAAATTCTGGACAATAGTAAATGCACTTCATCATTCATCTTTCTGGTCTTCACAAAATGTACTTGAAAGAGCAGCCCCTTCTCTGACCTCCTTGACTGTACTAAATTCCCTTAGAAGTTTTCACCTGTGTTATGGTATTGTAATACTCTTAGACTACATTCTATGCTTGACTACACTCACCAATATTGAAATAACTTCAGAGTACTCACCGCTGTCTGGACTTCTGTATGTCATTTAGTACACTCGGTACACCTGGACTAGACCATCATCTTCCAAACTTTTGGAATAAATTCACTATACTTGATGCTACTGGACTGAACTATTCACTGCTTACAGATGTCCTACTGTCACAGCAGTGAGAAGTTTGGACTGAACACTCCAAAACAGGACCTGCCAAAACACTTAGACTATAATCAGTGAACTCAGAACTTGTGGAAGATTTTTAGGGTTGGTGACTGAGAAGATGAATACCAAAAGCTACTAATCGGGGAGGGAAATCCAGCGTGGTCTGAGCAGAATAGCTATGTCTAAATAATACATCTTCATACACCAAATACATTTTGTGTCTTGTACCATTAATAACCATTGAGAGCAGCAAAAATAATAAAGCAATCTTGATTATATAAAATTACAATAATCTTTTTAATATGTGCTTACAATATGAAATAGAATAAAAGAGTCGATGTCATAGTTGGTGCATCTGAAAATGTAAGTCAGTAAATATCCACTCAGAAGTTAGTCTGCAAGTTTGTTGGTAAAAGTGCATTTCATACAGATAGTTCCTCGACTGCATTCCAAGTACTGTTCATAAAATGTCGCCTCAGTACGTGGTCAGTAGCCTGACTGACGGTCCCTCTTACTAAAGGATTTTCTATAAAAGAACTGGCATTTTACAGCTGTCATCCCATGTTCTAAGAAACTAAATTTTTTACATTGATAATGGTGTTGACTTTTTCATTGAGCAGTTTTGTTCTGATCGGAGTCTGTTTTATTATGACAGTGCTACTTAGTTATGCCATCTACTGAATAACATTTAAGCTTGCTAAAAAAAAAAAAAAAAAACCCCCCACAATTTATTGTTGACCAACTAAATATTAATCCCATTGTATCTGCTGTTGAACACTGAGTTTGGGTTTTAGTTGTGTGTGTGTAAAGTTTTTAGCATATCATACAAGCACTATGGCAATAGTAGCTGATTGATGCCTGGCCACTGATTCAATATAATTACCAATATGGATACAGCACTCTCCTGGATCCCAGGGTGCAACCGGGCCTGAGATTGGCCAATCCTCCCAATGCAGTTTGCAGAAACGTAATGATGGTCCAGACACTCAAGTTAAATCCATTGAGCAGATATATTAAAGCAGATGCAAAGCAACGTTTCGGCCCACAACAGTTTGACAAAGGCCCTGTTGTGGGCCGAAACGTTGCTTTGCATCTGTTTAAATCTGCTCACTTGATTTAACTTGAGTGCCTGGACCAGCATTACTTTTTTGGCCACTGATTCAGACTTCACTGCACTCAATCCTATCATCTCTCTCTAAGTCAGATATTTCATGTTCTGTTTCTTCCCATGATGAAATTAAAATACCCAATTGGAAACTGCTATACCTGCTATATAATTCTGCTTCCTTGTTCTTAGCTACAAGACTCTGGTGACCGAGCATGAAGCATTGATGCAAAAGTATCTACATTTACTGCAAATAGTAGAGACTGAGAAGAAGGTGGCAAAGCAGCTGAGACAGCAGATTGAAGATGGAGAGGTAGAGGTGGAACGCCTGAAATCTGAGGTGAGAAAAATGGTTAATAATGCCAAACATTCATGTCCATTAATTTCCATTAATACTTAATGATCATTCTCTCTTATTACCATGTGTTCTTAATAGGATAGGACCCACCACAGTACATTAAAACGTATACAACAGTTCTCAAATAACTGCTAGAAAAGTCCAAGGATACCATCTAATAGACTTGAACATACATTTTTGGATGAATACGCATGAAAGCAAAAAGAAAACAAATTAAACATAACTGGTGTGACCTTATAAGAGCAATAAGCAACATGTGGTCTATGTTCCCTTATAACTAATGGTAAATAGTAGAGAAAACACTCACCTTAGTGTATTAACAGTGACTCTCTCTGTGGAGTATAGTGTGGAAGATAAATGCATACATAGATGGAGTATAGCTATGGGGCCATCTAGTTAGTGCAGACTTGTAATAATTCTGAGTTTAGTGGCGATGAGCGTGTTTCTTGTGGGTTGCCAAAGGTTCCTTTTAATTCAATGAATACAATGTGTTTGTAAACCCGACAAACATACTGCCTTAAAGTGAATTGAGGTGAGGTAGGAGTGATATGTGGAGTTGCCAGTAGAGTTTATGTCCCTTCCTCCTGATTACTCAGCTGCTGTGACCAGAATGTCAGCCAAGGATGCCAAATTTTCATATAACCCTGCCTCATTGCTTTAGCTGACCAATGGAGCTACCAGGAACTCCACGTTACTGGTATCATCAACTCTAGTAATCCAGTGTTCTACAGATGGGACCTGAGATTGATCCTGTATACTAGGATTAGATTGTTTGTTTCACTCAGCAGAAACCATAATAGGCTCTGCTGATGGTGTTCATTAAATGATTTAGGCCAACCGAGGGTAACCTGTGAAGGGGTGAGTGTGTAAGGGACAGGTGTGGACATAACTTCATTCCAGGAACCTGGGGATGTACCTGCAGAACCACCAAATATGCTCCATTGTCAAGCACCCCCCCCCCCCCCCTCCCCCCCCCTCTGCCCTCCACACCTCTAACATATCACTCACTGTAGGAAAAAAAGTATGAAGCTGTGCAGGTGTATGATACCACTGCGTCACACGTTTGTAATATTTTCTTAAAATATCCTCCATGCAATTTGATTATTTAAAAATAGAAACATCAGGGAGCGCTGCACCTCTAAATCTCCCCATGATCCCCATACTCAATGCCACAGGTGAGGAATATAATAAATTAGTCCTATGGGGCTCAATATGACCCCAATATTAATATAAGGGAGATTGAAATCCTCCTTTATGCCCCTAACCGTCATGCCATTGGTAGGGGCATGTCTACAGTGAGCAGCTATTGCATGTCCAGTGCGTGGCTATTACATAAAATGAATGAGGTGGACCTATTGGTGGCGAGTGGTGGAGGGACCCATTGGTTATTGGGCACTCCCTCTGGGAAAAATCCCCAGGCAAGTCTTGACAAAATTGAGACTTGCCTGACAAAGACTCTTATATGGGCTTTTCTGCTATGCAAGGTCAACCTTTGAAGATGTATTATTATTTTTGTATCACTTTTTTTGTTTGTTTTTTTTAGCAATTTGGTCCGTTTATTTATTGTAATCGTTCATGTTTTTTTATTTGGCCTTTTCTGGGGCTGAAGGCAAGATGTTTTAGAAAGATAGAAGACACCTAACGTAATTATAATTATTTTTAACAGGAATTTAGTTTATTAGGCTTACATTACTGTTATTATGGTGGGGAAGGATAGGTAGGGTATTTTTATTGGGAGGGATGGCTAGGAGCTTGGAAAACACTAGCCACCTGGGGGTGGGCAGCCAGTGCCTAAATTGTAGAAGGGGATCTATAATATGTATATACCCCTTGTATATTTTATTATACTATTGGGTGTGGGCTGGGGGGGGGGGGAATAGATTCTTCCCATTATTATATTTAGATTCTTTACCCACGCGCAATGGATGGTGCTGGAGGGACCATAGATTTATCGCCTTATTATATTTAGAGCCCCCATCTGCCACCAGTGGGTAGTGGCTGTGGGACATTTAGTCTCACCTGTTCAATGTATTTAATAATTCTTACCCATTAGCCACTATGTCCCCCTCGCTTTATTATTATTTTTTTAATAGCCCCCTGTGGGAGCACGAGGGACCTGTGCCATGTCCCCCTTTATTGGATTAGCAACAATAGCTGCCCTATCCCTAGTCTCTTTTTTAATAGCAAGTAACCACAGTCTGTTAACTGTTGTTAGGTAGATAACATTTCCATATGAGTAGCATGAAGGAGGATTTACATCTCCCTTACATGTTTTTAAATTTTTTTAGTCTTAGTAGCAATTGAAAAACCAAAATTAGGAAAAAGCCTTTCTTAATTTTGATCTTTCATATGCTTATTAGATAGCTCCCTCATTTTTTTTTTTTTTGTGTCCTTATGTGTAATGGTATCTTTAAATTTGGCAATCCCGCATAAGGGTACCAATTTAGGGAGTTAACTGCTAAACAGATGCATGATTCAGTCTCAGATCAGGGGAATTTATATGCCAGGATTTCAAAATGTCCAAACCGAACAGTCCAATGGATGACAATCAATTCAAACAAACCAAAAAGTATTTTTGTCCAAATACATTCATATGAACCGAAATTTTCAGTTTTGTCCAAGTTTAATGTCCAAGTGCACCAGGGTTTAGCCACATTCAACGATATTTATAGGAGCTAACTGGTGTAAAGTATTAATTTGATAATGTTTTGATATCTAATGTCAGTCTTGTTCTTTGTTCCAAACACCACTGTAACAGTTTTGTAAGAATTTAGGAACAGCTTGTTTCTAGAAATCCATCTGTGAAATCCTGCTGTAAAACAGCTTCAAGTTAATGTTTGTTTTCTTTGTGACAATTATGGTATTAATTTCGGACATGTGGACATTTGAGGTGTGACACACAGTGGAAATATCATTTGTGAATATAGAACACAGTTAAGGCCAGAGAATTGAACCTGGAAGGAACTCTATGTGTAACTTTAAATGTGTTGGAAACATTGGCGTCAATACATAAATACATATTTGGCTTTGCTTGAAGTTCAGACCAGAACCTAACTAGAGGAAGGCAGATGTAGTTCCTATATTTAAAAAGGGTTCAAAATCCTTGCCTGGAAATTATAGACCTGTGAGCTTAACTTCTGTGACTGGGAAAATATTTGAAGGGCTGTTAAAGGGACACTATAGTCACCTGAACAACTTTAGCTTAATGAAGCAGTTTTTAGTGTATAGAACATGCCCCTGCAGCCTCACTGCTCAATCCTCTGCCATTTAGGAGTTAAATCCCTTTGTTTATGAACCCTAGTCACACCTACCTGCATGTGACTTGCACAGCCTTCCATAAACACTACCTGTAAAGAGAGCCCTATTTAGGCTTTCTTTATTGCAAGTTCTGTTTAATTAAGATTTTCTTATCCCCTGCTATGTTAATAGCTTGCTAGACCCTGCAAGAGCCTCCTGTATGTGATTAAAGTTCAATTTAGAGATTGAGATACAATTATTTAAGGTAAATTACATCTGTTTGAACCAGTTTTTTTTTCATGCAGGCTCTGTCAATCATAGCCGGGGAAGGTGTGGCTAGAGCTGCATAAACAGAAACAAAGTGATTTAACTCCTAAATGACAGTGAATTGAGCAGTGAAATTACACTAAAACTGCTTTATTTAGCGAAAGTAATTTAGGTGATAATATTAAGGGATAATATTCAGGAATTCATTGGGAAAAACTTTATTAGCAATAATCAGCATAGTTTTATGAAACATAGGCCAAGTCAAACTAAGCTAATTGCATTCTACGAAGAAGTAAGTAGAAGTATAGATCAGGGTGTTGCAGTGGATGTGATCTATTGGGATTTTGCCAAGGCATTTGATACAGTACCTCACAATAGATTAGTCTTCAAACTAAAAGAAATTGGTCTAGATCAGTGATGGCGAACCTTTTTGAGCCCGAGTGCCCAAACAGCAATACATGCCAACTTTTTTTTCCTTAAAGTGTCAACATGGCAATTAAACCTGAATACTGAGGTTTAAGTTTAGAAAAAACAACTTGTACAGTTGTCCGAACTAATAAACAACTTTTGTTTTAAAAAAAGAACTGAACTGCTGAATACATACACACAGTCTGCTGAATACATACACACAGTCTGCTGAATACATACACACAGTCTGCTGAATACATACACACAGTCTGCTGAATACACACACACACAATAGTACAGAATAATAATATACACGCTGTGAAAGACAAATAAGTAGCTCTAAAACACCTAAAAGAGTGGTATCCCTTACACCGCTAAAAACATAATATAATACATACAGAGTTATAGGTGGAGCTGTGGAGTACCTTGAACAATCTGGAAAATAGAATATATGCAAATAGCGTAGTATGTCTATACAATATGTAGCATATAAAAATGAGAATAAAAGCACTCACAAGGATGGAGTCATACCGTCATATGACTCTTAAAGTATGTTCTCTTGGACCATTAGGGGGTTGTCCAAACCCTTCTTTTGTTGATTGCTTGTTATTTCTCCTGATGGTCTTCAATAAAGATACTCAGTATGCCAGGGATCTTGGAAAATAATTCTTGTTTATTTGTAGATAAAATAATAAAATGGCAATATACTAAACCAATATATATTGGGTGTAGATATAGTCCAATAAAAAGTCTATCAAAGTTGAAAATGAGTGTCCAAAACGCGTTTCGCCTGATTAACAGGCTTCCTCAGTTGGCTCTAATGTTTCTTCCAAAGTTTTCTTTGTTTGAAAATGCCGCCGGCCGGCTGTGTCTTCTTTTATATGGCACTTCCTGATTCCGTCTGGTGGAACGCAACGTGCGCTCCACCTACGGCACCAACTTCCGGGACGCACCGCAAGTGGAACGCACGTGCGCCCCAACCCCGTGCGCACACCGGAACTTCAGCACCAACTTCCGGGTGGAGCGTCCGTGCGCTCCAACCCGGCGCCAACCTCCGCAATGCACCACAAGTGGAACGCACGTGCGTTCCAACTTCAAGCAGCAAATTTTTTAGGCATCTTTTTATACACTTATATACTATTTTTGTGTTTCTTTTACTATTGGGTATTATATGTATTTTATTCAGTTTTTACTGTGCATTTTTATAAATTTTCTAGAAATGACATTCTGCCCCTTTAAGATTGTGATAGCAATCTTCTAAAACTAATAGAATTAGTTTTTATTCCTTCTCATTAAATTTGATTTTTACTCTTTTCCATATTATCTGACTTTTTATATTTTTATTTAAAACATAGCACTTATAATTCTATATGTCACACTCTATTGGTGTAAATATAGGCAGAACGCCATTTTTTATGTTTGCATTTGGCCACCTGATGTGAGGCTGGGAGTGGAGCGCACGTGCGTTCCACCTGAGTGTGACCCGGAAGCAGAGAGAGACCCGAATTTGCTGCTTGAAGTTGGAACGCACGTGCGTTCCACTTGTGGTGCATTGCGGAGGTTGGCGCCGGGTTGGAGCGCACGGACGCTCCACCCGGAAGTTGGTGCTGAAGTTCCGGTGTGCGCACGGGGTTGGGGCGCACGTGCGTTCCACTTGCGGTGCGTCCCGGAAGTTGGTGCCGTAGGTGGAGCGCACGTTGCGTTCCACCAGACGGAATCAGGAAGTGCCATATAAAAGAAGACACAGCCGGCCGGCGGCATTTTCAAACAAAGAAAACTTTGGAAGAAACATTAGAGCCAACTGAGGAAGCCTGTTAATCAGGCGAAACGCGTTTTGGACACTCATTTTCAACTTTGATAGACTTTTTATTGGACTATATCTACACCCAATATATATTGGTTTAGTATATTGCCATTTTATTATTTTATCTACAAATAAACAAGAATTATTTTCCAAGATCCCTGGCATACTGAGTATCTTTATTGAAGACCATCAGGAGAAATAACAAGCAATCAACAAAAGAAGGGTTTGGACATCCCCCTAATGGTCCAAGAGAACATACTTTAAGAGTCATATGACGGTATGACTCCATCCTTGTGAGTGCTTTTATTCTCATTTTTATATGCTATATATTGTATAGACATACTACGCTATTTGCATATATTCTATTTTCCAGATTGTTCAAGGTACTCCACAGCTCCACCTATAACTCTGTATGTATTACACACACACACAAGACTGCTGAATACAGAGACTGATGAATACACATACAGACAGACTGCTGAGTACACACACACACAGTATGCTGAATACATACACACACAGTCCGCTGAATACACACACTGCTGAGTACACACACACACAGACTGCTGAATACATACACACATACTGCATTGAGGGGTGCAGTATATATGTTTGTGTGTGGGGTGCTGTGTGTGTGGGGGGTGCTGCGCGTGTGTGTGGGGGGTGCTGCGCGTGTGTGGGGGGGGTGCTGCGTGTGGGGTGCTGTGTGTGTGGGGTGCTGTGTGTGTGTGTGGGTGCTGTGTGTGTGGGGTGCTGTGTGTGTGTGTGGGGTGCTGTTTGTGTGTGGGGGGTGCTGCTGGCGTGCGTGTGGGGGTGCTGGGTGTGGGGTGCTGTGTGTGGGGTGCGTGTGTGTGTGTGGGGTTTCTGTGTGTGTGTGGGGGTGCTGTGTGTGTGTGGGGGTGCTGTGTGTGTGTGTGGGGGTGTGCAGTGTGTGTGTGTGTGGGGGTGTGCAGTGTGTGTGTGTGTGTGGGGGTGTGTGTGTGTGTGGGGTGCTGTGTGTGTGTGTGTGGGGGTGCTTGTGTGTGTGTGTGTGTGGGGGTGCTGTGTGTGGGGGTGCTGTGTGTGTGTGTGTGAGGTGCTGTGCTGTGTGTGTGGGTGAGTAGGGGTGCTGTGTGTGTGTGTGGGGGTTAGGTGCTGTGTGGGGGTGGGGTGCTGGGGTGTGGTGGTGGGGAGGGTGCTGGATGTGGTGGTGAGGAGGTGTGCTGGGGTGTGGGAGGAAGGGGTGCTGGATGTGGTGGGGGGAGGAAGGGGTGCTGGGTGTGGTGGTGAGGAGGGGTGCTGGGTGTGGGTGGGGGTACTGTGTGGTATGTGTGGTGGTAGGGGTGCTTTGTGGGGGGTAGGGGTAATGTGTAGGGGTGCTGTGTAGGGGGTAGGGGTACTGTGTGGGGGGAGAGGGTGTGGGGGGGTAAAAGTGTTTAGGAAAAAAAAAAGTATGCTAAATCATTATCCCTCCCTCCCTCCTTCTTACCTTTAAGGGAGGGGGCGGCACAGCCATCGTGGGTGTCCGGTGGTGTTAAGTATGTAGGGAGCAGCGGCAACGCTCCACACAGCTTGCTCGCGGGAGGACATGGGGGGCTGCTTCACAGATCCTTCCCCCTGCCTCCGGACACGGAAGCAGAGTAGGCACCTGCCGTTTTGGGCAGGCAGGTGTCTACTCTGCATTGATGGCGAACCTATGGCCGCGTGCCCACAGAGAGGGCCCGGCGTGCCACAGGTTCGCCATCACTGGTCTAGATGAATATTCTTGTTCTTAGGTAGAACATTGGCTTAAGGATAGAGTACAACAAGTTGTCATTAATGGTAAATTTTCAGGCTGGACAAAAGTGGTAAGTGGTGTCTCTCAGGGTTCTGTTTTGGGTCCGCTTCTATTTAACATATTTTTAAATGATCTTGAAATAGGCATTGAAAGCTATGTTTCATTGTTTGCAGATGACACAAAACTTGGTAAAGTAATAAAATGTGAGCAGGATATCGCTTTGCTGCAGAGGGATTTGGATAGATATATGGGGGGTACTGTTTTACACGGGAGACTTTGCTGAACACAAATATTAGTGATTCAAAACAGTAAAACATATCACAGCGATGATATTGTCAGTGAAAGTGACTTTTTTTGCATTTTTCACACACAAACAGCACTTTTACTGATGATATAATTGTTGTGATACGTTTTCCAGTTTTTAAACACTAATATTTGTGTTCAGCGATGTCTCCCGAGTAAAACAGTACCCCCCATGTACAGGTTTTATAGCATTTTTGAAAGTTACAAGGTCAAATATATGGGTCAAATATTTTTACATTGAAAATGGCCAGGTTGGTTACGTTGCCTTTGAGAGCGTATGGTAGCCCAGGAATGAGAATTACCCCCATGATGGCATACCATTTGCAAAAGAAGACAACCCAAGGTATTGCAAATGGGGTATGTCCAGTCTTTTTTAGTAACCACTTGGTCACAAACACTGGCCAAAATTAGCGTTCAATTTAGTTTTTTTACTTTTTTCACACACAAACAAATATGAATGCTTACTTTGGCCAGTGTTTTCGACTAAGTGGCTACTAAAAAAGACTGGACATACCCCATATTGAATACCCTGGGTTGTCTACTTTAAAAAAAATATGTACATGTGGGGTGTGATTCAGAGATTTATGACAGATAATAGTGTTACAATGTCACTATTGATAAATTTTAAAAATGTATGTTTTGAAACCGCAATATCCTACTTGTACCTATAACATGCACAAAAAAGAAAAAAAGCACGTAAACACTGGGTATTTTTAAACTCAGGACAAAATGTTGAATCTATTTTGCAGTTTTTTTCAGTAAAAGTCAAAAAACATGTATTTTTTGCAATTTTTCATCATATTTTTAAAAAAAATTTAAAATTAAATTACATGAGATTATATAAATAATGGTATGTAAAGAAAGCCCCTTTTGACCTGAAAAAAAAACCAATATATAGTTTGTATAGGAACAGTAAATGAGAGAGCGGAAAATTACAGCTAAACACAAACACCATAAAAATATGCCTGGTCGCGAATGTACAACTTCGCAAAAACAGTCCAGTCCTTAAGGGGTTAAAGGATCACTATAGGGTCAGGAACACAAACATGTATTCCTGACCCTATAGTGTTAAAACCACCATCTAGCCCCCCTGGGCCCCTCATGCCTCCCTAAATATTGCAAAATATTACTGTTTTCAAGCCTGAAGATGTAACACTGCTTGTTTTTCTGAGGCAAACAGCAAGCAGTCTGCTGACATCAGCAGAAGTGGTAGCCTTATCCAATCACAATGCTTCCACATTGGATTGGCTGAGACTGACAAAGAGGCAGATCAGGGGCAGAGCCAGCATGATTCAAACACAGCCCTGGTCAATCAGCATCTCCTCATAGAGATGAATTGAATCAATGAATCTCTGTGAGGAAAGTTCAGTGTCTGCATGCAGAGGGTGGAGATACTGAATGTTTGGATGCATTTTAGGCAGGCATGACCCAGGAGGGATCTCTAACAGCCGTCTGAGGAGTGGCCAGTGAAGTTCTCACTAGGCTGTAATGTAAACACTGCATTTTCTCTGAAAAGACAGTGTTTACAGCAAAAAGCCTGAAGGTAATGATTCTACTCACAAGAACAAATTCAATAAGCTGTAGTTGTTCTGGTGACTATAGTGTGCCTTTAAAGTAGAGAAATGCAAAGTTTTATGCACTTCGAGCTCAAGAATGCACAAGCAACTTACACCCTAAATGGTAATGAATTAGGGATAACCACACACGAGAAGGATTTGGGAATTGTTATAGACAACAAATTAGGCAGCAATATGCAATGTCAATCTGCAGTTGATAAAGCCAGTAAGGTTTTGTCATGTATAAATAGGGGCATAAATTCTCAGGATGAAAATATAATTTTGCCTCTTTATAAATCGCTGGTAGGACCACACCTTGAATATGCTGTGCAATTTTGGGCACCTGCACCTGTTCTAAAGAAGGATATCATGGCACTAGAAAAAGTGCAGAGACGAGTTACAAAATTGATAAAAGGAATGGAGCCAGGGGCGGCCTGGGAAGAAAATTCGACCCGGGCATTTCTTTATTACAGCGACCCACAATAAAGGGGGCAGGGCCAGATAGGGTATGTTTTGTCATCACCAATGACAAGCACGCCCCATCACAAAGTAAAGCATGTTTTTTCAATGCTCTTCCAGGGCAGACCATGCGCAGAGTTCTGCTGAAGAGCTCTAGCATGAGAAAAAGACCCTGTATTTGTTCTGCACAGCTCAAGCAAATTTAATAACCTGCTTGCACTGTGTTTGCTTGAAATTTGTCTCTGGTGTCTCCATAGATGGGATACCAGGAGACAAAAATGCCAGGAAAGAGTATTGTGCAGTGTAAGTGTGTGAGGGTAGTGTGTGTGTGTGCGCGCGCAAGAGGGGTGCAGTGTGCTGTGTGTGAGTGATGGGTGCTGTGTTTGCGTGAGAGTGCTATGTGTGTCGGGTGCTGTGAGTAAGGGTGTTGTGAGTGTCACGGGTGCTGTGTGTGTGTGAAAGAGGAGTGCGGTGTGGGCAAGGGTGCTGTGTGTGTGTGCTGTGTCTGAGTGATGGGTGCTATGAGTGTCAGGGGTGCAGCGTGTGTGCATGAGGGTGCAGTGAGTGCCAGGAGTGCAGTGTGTGTGTGTGTGTGGGGGTGCTGTAAGTGTCAGGTGTGCAGTGTGTGTGGGGGGGTGCTGTGAGTGTCAGGGGTGGACTGTGTGTGAGGGTGCTGTGAGTGTCAAGGGTGCAGTGTGTGTGTGTGTGTGTGTAAGTGAGGGTGCTGTGTCAGGGGTGCAGTGTGTGTGTCTGTGTGTGAGGGTGCTGTGTCAGGGGTGCAGTGTGTGTGTGAGTAAGGGCGCTGTGAGTGATTTTATCCCCCCTCCCTTCTTACATTCAGCCGGGGGGGGCGTGCTGCATTTTCCCGGGGTGCCCCATGGCCAGTCCGGACCTGAATTGAGCATTTTAGTTACGAAGAAAGGTTAAAAAATTTAAATCTTTTTTAGTTTGGAAAAACGGCACCTCAGAGGGGATATGATAACATTATACAAATATATTCTGGGCCAGTACAAACCATTATCTGGAAATCTATTCATAAACAGGGCTATACATAGGACACAATGTCACACATTTAGGCTGGAAGAAAGAAGATTTAATCTAAGGCAAAGAAAAGGTTTTTTACGGTAAGTGCAATAAGGATATGGAATTCTCTGCCTGAAGAGGTGGTTTTGTCAGAGTCCATACAGATGTTTAAACTGCAATTGGATAAATACTTGCAAAAACATAACATACAGGGATATAATTTCTAATTAGTGGGGTAATAGCTGCTTGATGCAAGGAGACATCTAACTACTATTTTGGGGTCAAGAAGGAATTTTTTCATAGTTTGTTGCAAAATTGGAAGCGCTTCAGACTGGGTTTTTTGCCTTCTTTTGAATCAACAGCAAAAACAAGGCTGAACTTGATTGACGCAAGTTTTTTTCCAGCTAGGTAACTATGTAACCTGTGTGTGTCCACCTATGTCTGAGGTTATCAAATTATTTTGCAAAGCCTAGGAAAGTTAGCCCCAATACGTTCACCTTGTCCCATACCATTCTGAATATCATTACACTCTTTCAAGATGGCATAGAATGTTTGACAGACAAATTTAAGTGGTCTTCTGGTAATATCTGCACAGTTGCAAATGGGCACATATATATCCAAAGCTTTAGACAATAAAGTTATCATTATAGTTGTGTAGTTTGACACTAGGGTTTTCTCTCTACATTTGTGAATGATTACAACGAAGTATGGTGGGCAGTTACTGATGCTGAATTTTAGCATAACAGCATAGTTAGTAAAAGGTTGGGCCACAATTAAGATATTGTTTTTTTTAGATTCAGATATTGTTTTCAAGATATTGGGTTCTTGCTTGAAAATAAAATTGTTGTTAATGTTGAGCTATGATCACGGACAAGCAACGGTTTAGGACAGTGGCAAACACCCATTGCTCCCCTTCCTCATGATGCTTACAGTGCCTCATTGTTCACAGATCTGCAATTAACTAGTTACTATCATGCTAATGAAGGTCTCACTCAGGGGGCATTCAGATTAGTCTGACCAACAAGCAGTTGTTTAGCTGATTTTTGAAGCATTAAGGATTACATCTACTAAGTGATCAAGTGATGATGTAATGGGCTTTATTTTCTCAAAAAGAAGACCAGGGAATTGTCACTAAATATAGTTGGTAATATACCCAATATCTGAATTCTATGTAGGCAAAGCCAAATGGTCTCATCCAGGAGCGTATGGTTTGAATTAATATGCACGTGTGAGGAGATTAGTGGTGTTAAATTCAATGCCTGAAACAATGAACAGTTTGCCAATTTTTTCCTCATTTAAAGTTCCAAAAGCCGTGCTTTCTTCCTATATTGGGAAGCAATTTTTCTGAGCCTGTGAACAATGTCACATTTAAGTGATTGTGTTGGGAAGTTATTTATTAAAAACTTCTGGGGCAAAGATCTAAAAATATGGAGCAGTCACCATGGAAACAGTGGACTGTTCCTGCTGATTAGTCAACATTTACAACTTTTCCCCAGAATTGAGCTTTCTAAATAACCTCCCACTCTGTATACCTTGTAGATGAAGGGGATGCTGTCACTGGGATGAGATGTCTGTGTCACAGCTGCTGACACTTTGATGTGTTAATGGGGATTGTTTGATAATAAAAGATGGAAAACCTGAATATTTATGAAGTTACAGTTTCCGGCTCTCATTAATCTGTTTTTCATCATCAGAACATTAACCAAATCACTCCCAGTGTATTCCATTATGCACGGACCTTACCACAGCACACAGTGACATGCTGCTCATCTTTGTTATCATCTGTTAATTAGCAAGCATCAACAAACTACTCAATTTAAACAAATGGAAATCAGGGCTCAGTTCTCTAGAGCTTCCAATCTAATGGACATTGTAAGAGCTTTGATACAAAAGTGTATTGTCAGATATGTGTACAGTAAAAATTGACAAATTTAGGTCCAGAAACGTACAACTTAGAAGATCAATCCAACTAGAAGAAAAGATCCAGTACTACTTGTTACTTTCCAGTAAATATTTGTATGTGCACCATGGGTGGCAGCAGTCACCATTTGTATTATTAAAGAAATATTTTAAGCTAGCAGTGAAGTGGGATGATGTTTTCTGTTTAAGGACTCTTCTCTGTGAACCTCAGCTGGAGAATAGTCCCGAGCTACTGACCATATACTATGTAAATATCAGACAATATTCATAGAGAAAGACCCTGTCTGGATATCTAGTCTCTCTATTCAGTCACATCCTGTGCTCTCGATATTATGTGGTGATGTTAGAAACATACAGGATGCGCTTTGGAGACCTCAAGTAACTAACTAATTAAAGTTTTATGCAGATTGCATCATTATTGAAAGAGAATGAGAGGATCCAATCAACACCAAGCTCGGCTGCAACAGATGATACAGACCTTAAGAAGATAAAGAAGGTAATCCAATGCACACATCTCATGCTGACCTTTCAACAACTCCCACCAGCCCTGTCTTTTTCACTTTAGATAACACTATGTGTATGTGACAGGAATTGAGAATGGTGTATTTTTTTACACAGTAATAATCTATGTTAACAAAGTAATTTATTTTCAAAGTGTTTTATCAGGTAGACAACATTGCGTTTTCTTTTATTTATAAAATATTTACAATTGGATATCTTAAAGGCACACTGTAGACACTGTAACCATTTCATCTCATTTTTGAGCAGTTTAACTAAATAAGGGTCCCTGGCCTCCCACAGCCCAGCACCCATTGAGGTATGGTTAAGGCATAGATTGCGCACTTCCTGCTGTTCATACCAATTCATACCAGTAATGGCTGTGGTGATAAGCTGAAATCAGTCAGCTGATACCCTCAGCCAGTCACAGCCTACTATTGCAGCTCACGCTAATGCTTCCTCATTACCCAAAGAAGGAGAGAAGGGGTTGACTGCGGGGGACTCTTGTTTAGCATTAAAACATTAAAAATGGAATAATGGCATCAGGAGAGGAATAATGGCATCAGGAGACTTCAGACACTAGAACTACTTCGGTGAGATAAAGCATTTACAGTGCCTTCAGTGTCCCTAGTAGTAGTTATGAACCAGGCAAGAATGGTAAAGAGTATGTCTGTCTGGATTTGGACAATAATAACTTTTGTTCTTTTAAGGTATAAAAATTGAAAATGACATCAGAGCAACAAAATTAATGATGTGTTTTTATTACTGAGATGTTTTGTGCTGCATATCCTCAATTGAAAGTCATATTCAATGATCGCATTATATACTGTATTTCTCATATAGACCTTTTCTCTGCTAAATGATACAGCCATAATTTCTTATAAACAGAGCCCTAATCGTGGTGTTATTGCTTTGAAGAGAGATGTAATTAAGAGGTTTCCAATCTAATACTAGGTTAAACGTTAGCTGGGGCAAAATTCGAATGGGACTTTGCTATTTGTTTCCTGCACAATTTGGTAATTGTAAAACATGTAATTTATGTTTTACAGAAAAGACTGAGAATATTATGTTAATATTTAGGATTAGTCTTTCATCTTTTATAAAATCCAGGTCAGATTTAGCTTCAGTATGTGATATATCTATTTTCCTAGTCCAGAGGTGACAGTCAGACAGTCACGCACATTCGGTTACAGGCAGACAGTCACACATGCAAGGTTACAGGCATACAGTCACAGAGACAAACACACTGTTACAGGCAGTCACACATGCAAAGTTACAGGCATACAGTCACAGAGACAAACACACATGCAAAGTTACAGGCATACAGTCACAGAGACAAACATACAGTTACGGGCAGACAGTCACACACGCAAAGTTACAGGCAGACAGTCACACATGCAAAGTTACAGGCACACAGTTACAGGCAGACAGTCACACACGCAAAGTTACAGTCACACACACTCGGTTATAGGCAGACAGTCACACATGCAAAGTTACAGGCATACAGTCACAGAGACAAACACACAGTTACAGGCAGCCAGTCACACACGCTCAGTTACAGGCAGACAGTCACACATGCAAAGTTACAGGCAGCCAGTCACACACGCTCAGTTACAGGCAGGCAGTCACACACACACAGTCACAGGCAGATAGGCACACACACTCACTCAGTTAAAGGCAGACAGTCGCACACACAAAGGCACAGCTACAGCCAAACACAGTTACAGTCACACAGTTGCAGTCTCAGATACAGGCACAGTTACAGCCACACAGGCAGACTGTCACATACACACACAGGCAGACTGTCACACTCACACACCCACCCATTATGGCTGGAAGGGAGGAGTGGATGTATGCAGCTCCTGTAGCCTAGTTGTTGGGTAAGCAGGAACTCTTTGCTGTGCAGCAGCAGCTTTTAGCTCTGCCTCCCCAGCTATTTAATTCTGCCTTTACTACTCGCAAGCTCCGCCCTGATGATATGTAAGCCCCACCCCTGCTGACATCCTATTTTCTTTCGTAGTCCCAGTGGAGAATAATTAATCCTCCACCCGGGTACCTGAATTAGCTCCCCCTGCACTCCTGTCACCCGGCCATGTGTGAGCTGTGTCGGCCACATGTCGCCCCCTGATCCATGGCACCCTGTGCAGCCGCACAGCTCATAGAAACATAGATAGAAACATAGAATGTGACGGCAGATAAGAACCATTCGGCCCATCTAGTCTGCCCAGCTCGAACACCCCTAAGGATGGCCCTGGCCACAAAGTGGGAAATACTTGCCCAACTGCCCAGGCCGACTACATATGGTGCATACCTCTGCTGTGACTGCACTCTCTCATCCATTTTTGTCAATGGTATATGACAATTAAATCATGCCAGCAGGCCCCCTCCTACAGCATAACTCACTCTGTCAAACCCTTATGTCAAATGATACATAAAATAATGAATAAGATTCTCATATTCTATGTTTGCTTTTATTTGAGTGCATTTGCTTAGTGTCTTCCTAAACTAAAATGGTGATCTAGAGAGATATCAACTACACTTCAATGACAAGTCCAAAAAAGCACATAAATTATCATCTGAGGTTACTGTATATCTTGTGCCCTTGTGGGCAGGTTCAGTCTGATATGCGGTTTGTGTAGGGTTTCTCTGTAATGGCACAAGTAAGCAAAAACGTGTTTGATACCTGAACAGGGACTAACCAAAAGTCAGGCTACTGAGGTTTTGCTAATTCTTAGTGTTCTCATAACTGACTGTTTTGGCTTCAACACACACAACAACACAAAACACCAGACCCACTCCTACAGCATACCTCCATTTCTACTGCTACATACAAACTCTGTCTCTCTAAACATTTGATTAAAGTTGACCTTATAAGTTTGAATAATGTAAGGTGCTGGAGGAAGTGATTACTTCTTCTGAAGATAGGACCAATAACTGAGCAGCAGCCTGGTTGGCTTGATTTCAATTTGATGATATCAAAACAAGGATATCTCTATTTTAACATTATCTTATGCAATAATGTGCCCCATGTCTTCCCCACCAGCTTAATATCTTTTCTTTTTGATTGCTTCTGTCACTCTCCCCCTATGATGCAACCCTGATATTCATTGCATACCTCACAAGATCTGTTATCAGCTGATCATGTGTATTTTCTTACGTGTTGAAACCTTGTCATTTACATATTAAATGCCATAAAGTTACTGGGCATAAATGGACAGTATTCCCCATTGTTGTATCCTTAAAAAGAAAAATACTCACATTTTGATGATAAAGAAAAATGTACTTTAAGGCACCCTTAATGATATAGCTGATACCTGAAGATGGTGTACTTCATTACTTTTAGCTTTTCATAGTAGCGCAAGGTCATTACAGAGCTGAAGGAACATCAGATGTAAATATTCAATTGCAAGGTATAGGCGGAGTATAAATTTTACCCTTTAAAACTGTTAATTGACAATATGGTGAAAAGGCAATTGAGGGGTACATTTTATTAAATTATATAGATGTGTTGTCAGTCATTGTCTGATCATTCATGTCTTTCATCAGGTGCAAAGTTTCTTGCGTGGCTGGTTGTGTCGAAGGAAGTGGAAAAGCATAATCCAGGATTATTCAAGGTCTCCCCATGCAGACAGCATGCGCAAGAGGAACCAGGTTGTGTTTAGTATGCTAGAAGCTGAGGCGGAGTATGTTCAGCAGCTGCATATACTGGTCAACAATTTCCTGCGACCACTGCGCATGGCAGCTAGTTCTAAGAAACCACCAATCACACACGACGACGTCAGCAGCATTTTCCTTAACAGGTAACTGCTGAAAATTGGCTAATGCTAACTTGGGTTAGAAGAACACAGCCTGTATGTTTATTAATGAACTCTGTAAATCTGTATCTATGTATATGTGGCAAAGGAAAACAAGAAGCACTGGACCAATGGCATTTTTAAGACATTGCCCTTGTAATGTTTGGCATTTTTTCTTTTACAGTGAAACCATCATGTTTTTGCACCAGATCTTTTACCAAGGGCTGAAAGCACGAATCTCCAGCTGGCCCACCCTGGTGTTGTGTGAGAATAATTTTTTTTCTCCCAGTCACCATGTCCCTACATATTCATTGTATCAATATCTTGCCATTCTCTGCACCATTCTCTGTGCTTCTTTTAAGTGTTAATGTCTCTATGTTCCTTAGCCGTGTCCTGTTGGTAATCTTTGACATAGTGATCTCTTTCTGTTTCTGTCACACACTCTCCCAGTCATGATGTTACAATGCTTTTGTTATCTCTTTCCTCAGCTGACCTCTTCGACATCCTTCTGCCAATGCTGAACATCTATCAGGAGTTTGTAAGGAACCACCAGTACAGTCTTCAGATCCTGGCTCATTGTAAACAGAACCGAGACTTTGACAAACTACTAAAGCATTATGAAGCCAAGCCAGATTGTGAGGAGCGCACTCTGGAGACCTTCCTCACCTATCCAATGTTTCAGGTATCTCTCACCTAGGAAAGATATTAAACCAATCCAGCAGTAAAAGGAGAAGTGTACATTTGTAATTTGTGATATTAATCAAATAGAAAGAATCTCAGCCTTGCTTAGAAGAAGAGAACAATAATATGTAATCAAAATATGGGAGCACATTGTCAAAACACACTGTCTTTTTGTTGCTAGATCCCAAGATACATCCTCACTCTGCACGAACTGCTTGCTCATACACCTCACGAGCATGTGGAAAGAAATAGTCTGGAATATGCCAAATCCAAACTGGAGGAGCTGTCAAGGTGAGAATACAGATATAGCTGAAAATGAAGTATATGCCCAATCATTTAATCTGTACTCTGTACATCTGTGGAAGAGAGGCTGCTAAACATGAGTTGCAAGGTTACAAGACAGGAGCTAACATGTTTAACATGGAAACGTAAAAATCCTATTGTTGGCTTTTTAACACCCATTTGTAACCCATTGAACGTCAAAGGGAATGAGCAAATGGAAGCCAAAACAGAAATACCACAGTCAAGACTACTTAAAACATTTTATATTGCTTTTTTAATGCTGGAGTGTGTTTTGAAAGATCGTTTGTGTAAATCAGTAGACAAGGATATTTCATTCAATTGTTTCTATCTCTCTCCCCTCTAGAATAATGCATGATGAAGTCAGCGAAACAGAAAATATTCGTAAAAATCTGGCCATTGAGAGGATGATTGTCGAAGGCTGTGAGATTTTACTAGATACAAGTCAGACCTTTGTGCGGCAAGGTAAAGTATTTAGCATTCATTTATCATAAAGTAGCTAAGCATAAGACCAGGTAGTTGAGAGAGGCCGGCCAAAATGTTTGCTGGAGCACACAGTAGACCCACAGTGCATCATTTAAAGGACCACTCTAGGCACCCTGACTACTTCAGCTTAATGAAGTGGTCTGGGTGCCAGGTCCAGCTAGGGTTAACCCATTTTTTAATAAACATAGCAGTTTCAGAGAAACTGCTATGTTTATTAATGGGTTAAGCCTTCCCCCTAATCCTCTAGTGGCTGTCTCATTGACAGCCACTAGAGGCGCTTGAGTGCTTCTCACTGTGATTTTCACAGTGAGAGCACGCCAGCGTCCATAGGAAAGCATTATGAATGCTTTCCTATGTGACCGGCTGAATGCGCGCGCAGCTCTTGCCGCGCGTACGCATTCAGCCAACGGGGCGGAACGGAGTAGGAGAGAAGGAGGAGAGCTCTCCGCCCAGCGCTGGAAAAAGGTAAGTTTAAACCCCTTTCCCCCTTCCAGAGCCAGACGGGAGGGGGTCTCTGAGGGTGGGGGCACCCTCAGGGCACTATAGTGCCAGGAAAACGAGTATGTTTTCCTGGCACTATAGTGGTCCTTTAAGGACCTTTGCAATAAAACACCTAGGAAATTCAAGAAATCTCAAACCCCTATATGTTATCTCTGATCCGATCTATAGGACATATTGCATCATGACGATATGCTTATCTTTAAAAGGACACACCACTGCCCAAATAATAAATATATATATATGAATCAGAAATAGTCAGCTCGAATTTTGCTTCACTGACCTAAACAAACCAGGAAGTAAGAGAAGCTGTTACACAGACAGGGTGTAACCAGGTTAATGTATAAAAGTACCAATTTATATGCTTTTTTTCTGTGCTTTTTGTTAAATGGAAAAAAAAACACACACTCTTCACACACAAACACTTCAGCTTTAGTGCTCAGGAGTGTCCCTTTAATTTGGTTAAGGTTTTGAAGAGAGGTGTAGGGAGAGTTACAGATCCAGTCATTGATTATTTAACCCCTTAAGGACCAAACTTCTGGAATAAAAGGGAATCATGACATGTCACACATGTCATGTGTCGTTAAGGGGTTAAAGGACACAGTGCAGAGTGTCAAAGAGCCTAATGTGTGCTTTAGGGGTCAGGAGTGTCCCTTTAATGTGGTTAAAGTTTTGAAGAGAAGTGTAGGGAGAGTTACAGATCCAGAGTGTCAAAGAGCCTAATGTGTTGACCTGATGGAGAGAGAAGTGATAGTCTTAGGCATACTAAATAGCTTTGAATACATTTCTACCTTTGTTGTTCCTTCTCATTTTTTCAGCATGTCTCCACATCCCACACACACCATTTCCCATCCCACACATTTCTTCACCCTTCCACAAACTACTGAACTCCCACATCCTTTCTCCTTCATACACTCTTTGTTTAAAGAGAGACACATACAAGGAGTGGGAGAGGGAAAGAGACAGAAAGAGACAAAACTACACAGACTGCCCTTGTTTACTGATGTCCAATCCCCCCCAACTACTAGAGTGTTCCAAAACTCTATGCCTTGACCTACCCACCACCCCAAACACACACACACCTTCCCATTTCCTAGAACAGGTAATTTCTACTAAACTCGGAACAATACTCACCAAGTTTAAGACCGAACCCTATATTGCCGCCATATAATAATATACCTACCATGTTTCACTTTGTATCACTACCTGCTTTATTTATATATATATATATATATGTATATATATATATATATATTATACAGTATGTGTCTCTTGTTTCTAATGTGCTATGAACTGTATTTCCAATACTGAACTAACTTTTGGAGTTGAATGCAGTTTTCTGACGCACAATAAACATAGAATAATTACAAAAAAAGAGAGATTTGAATATCGGCATTCCTCACACTTAAAACAGGTGAGTTTTTTGAAAAGGCAATACAATTTGAAACAATGTAAGACCATGAACATTTTTCAAAAGTTGGGTTATATATATATATGGAGTTAGGTTTCCGACCAAGGTTCTGAAACTCTACCTGCTTGTAAAAATGATAACACAGATAAGATTTCATTAAAGCGTCTATCTAAGCACCAACACCACTTTAATTCAATTAAAGTGGTTTGGGTGCGGAAATCATGCTCCATCAAAGATGGTGGATCGGCTTAACTTTAAACTATATTGTTCAATTGCATTAAAATTATTATTTTGTAACTAGACCTTTACTTTAATTGCATTGACTTGTCTTAGATATGTTGTACCGTATCCAACTGAGAATTACAATCCTTACGACTACTTGGTGTGCTTCTCTGCTTACTATACCAAATCAACAGTCAGTCAAGCTTGTTAACGAATATATATGCACACTAAAGATATGAACTATCCTCCATTGTCACCAAATTAAAACCTATGTATAGATAGACCAATTACTAGCCGAAAGATTATTATTATTTCTAATGTGCCAACATATTTTGCAGCATTGCACAACAACTGAACTTACTGATTCTATGCAATCATACAAAGCAGCAGGTCCAGATGGATATCCTGCTGAATGATATAAGCAATTTAGGAATCTGCTTGGAGTACACATGCTGGAAATGTTTAATTATGTTTAAAAGATTCATCTTTGCCAGATCTTATGTTTGCCAGCTGACATAAGCTTGGGAAGGTTCTGTCATTATGTGGTTCTTACAGGCAATCTCCTAATTATGTGCTGAAGTGAGAAATTTTGGCAAAAAATATCTTCAAAAATTAACAAAATAAGGTTGTTGTTTTTTAAGATTACTTTTACTGAAATTCGCTTTTAGACCAGAACTCAATACATTCAAATAATGTTTCACAATATTAAAACCACAATTCAACCAGAAGAACTACTGGTGGACCTGTTTGTGTTGAATCAAGCATCCTTCCTTTTCTCTGTGTTCCTTTAACCGTGGAACCCATGGCATAGAAAGTTTGTGATGTCTTCAAACAAATGCATTACAGACAGGATTGTCACAGTACCTCTGTCTTGGCTGTCTGCTGGGAGTGTTGTTAGTTTATCAAACTCAAGTCTCCTCTGTCCTCCCCGATGCCAGCAGCACTCTTTTTTTTACAATTAATTGATGGATTGACATGGTGATCCATGTACCTTCAGTGTGCATTCGCACCCACACCCATTTGGAAATACACCATGTGATAATTTTACCTCTTTACTGAAATCTCCTTTTCAGAATCATCAGTGCACAATTTTCTCAGGTTTTTATGTATGTTGTTCCTTATATTCTCTATACTCTTTGAATTACCTGACTTGTTTGTAGTCCCTGATCTGGTTAGTATTATCACTGGTTTGTACCCCTGCACCCTAGACCTTGGTTCTCTACTGACTACAAATCTGTACCTTTGCCTTCTCTGAGCTCATTTTGCAATGCGTCCAGTTCACTTTAACCCATGTAAGTTGTCATACTGTACTGATATGTTTTGACTACTTACTGTTAAATGACACCAGAGCAATGCTACTGTTATAACCAGCATAGCGTCCTGCAGGGGTAGAGTGTGTCTTTAATGATTCCATAAAGATTGTTGGAATCTTTGTTGGAATGATTTTGATTGTTTAAACTTTTACAGAACCAATAATGGTAAAAGTATTCACAAAAAGTGGGTGCGAGGAGGTCAGACAGCCATTTCAGATGGACACAACTTCCATGAGCTCCATCATACACAAAACGACTTGGCATTTCAAAATGTTTTTGAAAAAAATCTTGAATTCCTGCTGGCGTTTAAACACGCAACAACAAATCTTTCCAAATCGACTTTCTCTATGAAAATTTTCATCAGTTCTCAATTCTTTAATTTGCGTGGCCTAGTTGGCAGTACTGCCTTGCGACACATCCAATCTCCTTGAGGGTAAAAAAAAAAACACTTCACTTTAATTCTGTAATTATATGTTGCCTCTGTTTGTATTGCAAATATTGAAAAAAGGGGCATCCAAAAGCCTTTGTCTAAGACTCTAAGTCATTGATATTGGCTGAAGTTACATGTTTTTGACATATCAATGTAATGGTAACATAGAAAAACTGCTGTATATTTTAAGCTGATTAAACTTTTTTTTTCTTTTTTTCCTATTTTCTCAGGATGTTTAATACAGGTCCCTATGTCTGAGAAGAGCAGGGTGACGAGGGGACGTCTTGGATCTCTATCTTTAAAGAAGGAAGGAGAGCGCCAGTGTTTCCTATTCTCCAAACACCTTCTGATCTGTACACGCAGTTCTGGAGGAAAATTGCATCTCACCAAGGTAAGTCTCCTAAAGTAGGATCGAATTAGATGAAATCTCCCTGCATGCATGTGGCATTTTTTACCCCGTCTCATGCTTAGGTTTGATATGGGAAGACAGACAGGATGGAGCAGGGAAAGGACTTATATACGACAAATGTTTTCTTTCCTGCTTACTCTGGCACACATGTAATATAATGATAACTGTTATCCCATACCTTCTGCCTGTAATACAGCATGTTCAAAATGGAGCAGGGAAAGGAGATCTGTGCTATTGCAACAGGCTACTATTTAATAAGGATGATGTCATGGGGTGCAGGTCACCGAGGGCCCAATCAGACTCCAAATGCATTTTTACTTAATTGGTCAAGTTGACACGTTCTTAGAACTTTTAAAACCCAATATAATTCACACATTCTTTGCTGGTTTCCATAGTGGCCTATTTGCATTGACTTTTAAAATATTTTCCGATTGATTTACTGATGTGCAAGCAAAGTAGTGTCAGCTAAAATATTACATGCATATATTTCTTCTATGATCCATCCAATTTGCTAATGAGACTTGTAATTAAAAAAACTTACCTAACTTGACAGGTCAGGGTAAATAATGTCTCACCAAAATGCCCTCAATGGCCAAATGAAATACATGTGTTAATTTTTTGTGAATTCCATAGTTTTCAAACAAATGGAAATCCACCCATACATTAAAATATTGCATGTACTACAGCCTAAATATTTATTTCCATGTGTATTTTTGATAAGTCAGCTCTACTGATGCTCAGCCATCATTACAACTAGAAGGGAAGTCAATATTATGCAAACACAAGGGATCTTCGTAAGGAATCTATAAATATAGTCATAAATGAAAATTGTATGTAGGTTTAAAGGGACACTCAAATTGAAGAAAAAAATATATCACCATTGCTGCCTAAATTTTGCTCTTCAGGTCTCAGTTTGTTAAAAATTATGTTTAATGTATAAAACCACCTTTTTTGTTTGGGATAGTTTTGTGTGCTTTGCAGTAACAAAGAAATGTGCTGCAATGTAACTTTCTTGAAACATTTTTACGGGGTGAATTATGCGATCTGGAACAGGCCTACATGATTTTTCACTAGTTTGCATGTGATTTAGTGCATGTGCTGATTTCTGTGCTTGCCTAGAGCAGTATCAACATTCACTGCCAGCCAGTTATTAGAGGTTCTTGGCAAAGGATAGTGAGGTGAGAAAATTAGTACAATAGATTTTGTATAAAACCGTCACTCATTTGAAACTGCCGTAAGTGACTGTCATGACTGGGGCAGCCAAATCTATAACATTTTATTAAATACAAAAACAGATCATTCTAGAACATGTTAGTAACCTCCTGTATGAGAATCCTTATCTGTGAAATTTTCTCTTTAAGGTTTTATCTTAGAGATTTTAAAATCTGTTTCATAAGGTTTTATGTTTTATATTAACATTGCATAGAAATTGAGATGATTACGAAGCCCTTTTTAGCTATTGTTTGAATTCACAAGCACCTGGAATGTCGTGTAAATTGATTGTCGTGATTATTGTTAAGGTAGGAATTAGCTTATCAGCCTCGTAATTAATGAGTTCTCAACGTCAGGTTCCTTACAGGATCAGCCTTATGGTGTTCACAAAATGCTTCAAAATCCCTATTCCTGATGGATATTTATGTGATGCCTTGCCAGTTTGCTTGTTTAATTTGCTTCTAGATTGTTAGAGCACTGATTGTTGGCTGTGGATGATGAACATTTGTAATTGGTGGGTCATTCTATTCACTGGATGCCACTGGCTGCTGTTGGCCAACAATAGCCAGATGCATTTCTCTCGTTAGTGGTTACCTGTGATTGCTGAATTGTATTGCAATTACTATTAAATTTAGGTCTGATTGTGAACATATCTCAGTTTGTTGCATGGTTCCCATTGATGATGGCCTGTTTTCAGGATGTCTGTTTTAGTAATTGCATTTTCTGATAGTACTCCCTGGTTGTTGGATTAGTCTGATTAGAAGGCTGCCTTGTGCTGACATGCATTATGTTTTTGTTTTCACCATAATAAAATTATGTGTTTTAAGTTATTATTATGTAAATGCATGGATTATTTAAAATCGATTGTTACACTTTAGTATGTTAACGGACTACCCGTGTTGTATAATGTGATTCGTGGCTAGATTAAGCCACTAGTCAAGTTACTTATAGCGAAGAGTAAACAAAAAGAACTAAAGCCCAGGAAGCTACTTAATATTCTGATTTGGTCTGAGATGGCCTTCTGGAAGAAGAATGGCTAAATAGTACCTACATTTGCACCACGACAATTGTAACAAATTAGAAAAAAAATCAACATAATACATACAACTTAAATTAGATGAAGCCCTACTTCACATGACTTTGTACACTGGTATACTGTTAAATTCGATATCTGAATGCTAGATGTATTTATGTAATTATTAAATTTATTACACATTGGCAGAAATCGCCTATTTCTGTATGTTGTTTTCTGAAACGGCATTTTTTCCCCCCCCCCCTTCCATTGTAGAATGGAGTAATATCGCTCATTGATTGCACATTATTGGAGGATCAAGATGATGATGACAGTTAGTATACACCCTTGAAAATCTAATAATCTTCATTTTTACTAAAAGCATCCATAATTTTCCCAACCACCCAATCCCTTTGTCATGCTACTACCCATGCCAGTAGATACCTCCATAAACAAAATCCATTTCATCCTTCTACTTTGAATCCGTTTCAGTTCCTTCCAGTCACGTTTTGTATTTCTTTGTTTTTTGACACCTACTTTCCCTTTACAGCTAGACCCCTGACACAGGATGGTGATCACCTAGACTTTAAGATCTCTGTGGAACCTAAAGACTCTCCGCCCTTTGTTGTCATACTCCTGGCCTCATCCAGGCAGGAAAAGGCAGCCTGGACAAGCGACATCAGCCAGGTCACCATAGTGAAATCATGTTCCCATCATCCCAACACCATTAATAACACTACGGCACAACTGTGTGTAGTTGATATTTTAGACACATTATCATTATACACATAATCTGCTTTCTCTTTTGTTTTGTATACTGGACGTATACCGATCATGTATTTCCCGTTCTCCACTTTTCACGTTGGCTCTCTTTGTTTACAGATTTTTGCTTTATACTCTCTTTAGTCTAAATATTGCCCTGCATTCTGTGTTTTTCCTTACCTGCCTTCCCAATAGAGGCACTCCGTTACAGGTTTCCTCTATACGTCCAGCTCTGTATGGCATTCTTCAAGGGGGTTTACTATCAATCCATATTCTAATTCACATTTAACATGTGTACATACTAAGATTTCCTGTCAAATTAGATTTCATTTTAAACTAAATGGACACTGAAGTACTTTATGGCCCTATTAGAGTTACTCCTACTAGTACTTCCACTTGTAGATACTGTGCCCTACTCTACTTACTCTGAATGTCCATTCCTATTTGTACGACGCTGTGTTTAAGGAATTGACAGTTCCTCTTCGCTATATATTATGCTTTAAGTAGCATAATGTCAGTCTTGAAGACTGGGTTAAAGAGCCCTGATGAATAATCATTTCTTATTCTTTTGTGCTATCATTCCATGTAACATAGTTCTGTCTTCTGTTCTCTCGTCCAAGTTCATTTTCAACTTTCAACCTGTTTATGAGCCAAGTACTCAATTTAGTATTGTTGGATAAGCATTCAAAAAATAAAATATTATGCAACAATATTTAAATATTTGCAATGTTTTGATGTTTTTCATATATGTTTTGCATAGATGATATAAAATGGTTTAAAAGGTTATCCAAAAATATGAAATTGTTTGAGAAGCTGATCCAACAATAGTAAATCAAGGCTAAGACTGTAGGTTCTAAAATAGGTGGAACACTAATTTGTGTCCGTGAGTGCTTTCTAACCGTGAGTACGCTTTCCTCCAGTGTGTGGATAACATTCGGTGCAATGGGCTTATGATGAACGCGTTTGAGGAGAACTCCAAAGTTTCCGTACCACAGATGATCAAGTAAGTTGGGCAGAAATTTTGATTGCAAATTACACCATACATTTTGAGTATTTTTTTTTTAAGTGAGCTGTCAAATATGAATCACCACCACCACTACTTTCACGCAGCCATTTGTCTCTGCTGTTTATTTTTTTTTCATTATCTGTGCAGCCATCAGGGTTTGAATAAATCACCTGAGAACCACAGGTGTAAAGCACTCGTAATATGCACATTTATTGCATTGTAAATGTGTTTTCATGAATTCCGATGCAATGCATTGCTTTAATGCAGACTGATCACATAATTTGGAAGTCTGTAACATACTGCATGATTCCACAGGTCTGACAGCACTCTGTACTGCGACGATGTAGATATTCGCTTCAGTAAGACGCTGAATTCATGCAAGGTTCTCCAGATTCGTTATGCAAGTGTCGAGAGGTTATTGGAACGTCTCACAGATCTGCGTTTTCTGAGCATCGACTTCTTGAACACGTTCTTGCACTCGTACAGAGTTTTCACCTGTGCAGATGTCGTTCTTGATAAGCTTATAGCTATTTACAGAAAACCAGTCAGTGCCATCCCAGCCAGGTGAGGAATATTCTATTAATCTGAGCTTTAATCTGTCCAACTTTTAATCAGAGCACTCTCTTAAATGGAGGACAGCTATCTGTCAAGCATCAACCTCTCACACTGAGCTCTCATTTCTTCTTCTGTGGACATTCATCTGTACACTGTCTTTTCTTTCATGGATATTCCATCTGTAAGCTGTCTCTACCTATATGAACACTAATTTATAAGATATATCATCCCTTCATGTACTGTTACATGTCAATCATGCTGCCCCTCTTTGTGGACAGTTATCTGTCAGACATCTCTACTTCTCTTGTACCCAAATCTATTAGTCATCTTGTCCTCTCATGACCCTCATCCGTCAGTCATCCCTTTCTCCCATGGACACTAATATTTATTATTCTCATGGACGTTATCTGTCAGATTGGGTTCTATTTCATGCAGAAAACTCTCTGAGCAACAAAAGTTGTTCTCACATGGATGGCGATCAGTCGTAGAAACTCTCACAGACAGATCTCAGACAAGGTTCTCTCTTGCACGTGGACAACTCTGTTTTGCATGATAACTGATAGAAAATGATTTTGTCAAATGGAACACTCTCAACAGAGAATTATTTGTTAGATTCAATTGTATCACTGTCTTAAATTTACATTTACCAAGCATGGACACTTGTCTTCTCACACCGAGCTCTCTTTTATATAGATTGTGATCTCACACTGATCTTATCTTACATTTACTAAAAGTATGCTTGCCTTTTATTTATTTCATTTTCATTTCCCAGGTCTTTGGAGCTTCTTTTTGCCAGCAATCAGAGCAATAAGCTTCTGTATGGTGAGCCCCCAAAATCTCCTAGAGCAACCCGCAAATTCTCATCTCCACCACCCCTGTCCATCACCAAGTCCTCTTCACCAAGCCGCAGGCGCAAATTATCTCTCAACATTCCTATTATCACTGGTGGAAAAGCTCTAGATCTTGCAGCTCTTGGAAGCTCACCTAATGGATATTCTAATTCCAGTCCTGCACCTCCACCTTATAGCAAGACCACCCTAGACATTAATAAGCTCTATGTGTCTGGGAGTTTCCCCAGCAAGGTGGGAGAAGGAGAGGAACCACCAGCTGAAAGAGACGAGGAGCCTGTGCTACAAAAACAGAGTAAGTTTAAATAATTGTGTGGAAGGGAAATATAAGGTGATAGTGAAAGAATATAAGTTAGTGGGGTTATATTAGAAAATGGTAATTCTGTAAATTCACCAATTCTCTTACAGCCTCTGAAGTTTCTGGCCGCGTAGAATCAGATACTGAACAAAACAGTGATGAGGCTGAAACGGATACTTCACCGACCCGATCTCCAACCACCCCAATATCTCAGCGAAGCCGGAACTCTGCAGGTTATTTTATTTTCTCACATGATGTTGTGCTGTCAGTTTGAAAATATGTGATTTACAGATCATTCCCTATTAAGCTCTAATGAGCTGTAAAAGTTAAAAACTGGCTTTTATTTCTTTTGCTGTATTCTGCTCATATGATTTCACCCTTCAAAACCATTTCTGTTTAAACTTTAATTTAAATTATATAAAAAAAACTACAGAAACTTGAAACTGACTATTTTGCACAGTCACTTTATATACAATGCTTTTTACAAAAGTAATATGTTTGACTAATTTTTATGCTCGTCCTTCCTTGCATAGATTTCACACTCTTTTCATACAACAATGGAATTGTGATGACTTCCTGTCGAGAACATGACAACAGCCGCAGCAACCTATCAGCAGCTTCTGCCTTCGCTATTGCAACTGCTGGTGCAAATGAAGGTACTCCCACCAAGGAGACATACAGGAGGATGTCTTTGGCCACAGCAGGTAAGGGAGATTCATAAGACACGAGGTTCGCAAATTCGGAAGGGAGTGTGCTATGTTAAAAGCATTTGGGAAGGAACTAGATACATAAAAAATTTAAGGTTTAAATATAAATTAAAGGAATACAAACCTCTATTCCTAATGCTTTAGTGTACCTGAACCTTTTGATAGAGGTCCTCCCCAAGTGTTTCCATATTTTTTTTTATTTTCTTTCCTTTTACCAGCACAGAAGCTCCCCTGGCGCTGCTTACCTCTTCTTGTCCGGCGACATAATGGAGGAGGCATAGCCTCCAGCAACAGTACAATCCAATGCCTTATGCATCCAAGCTTCCCAATTTGGAGGCATCGAATCAATTCTTTCCTATGGGGGTTTTACTCAGTTGTTGCAGTGGTTGTTTAACCCTTCAAGATAAACATTGCAGTTTAAAATTACAAGAAGAGGAATGTATCTAATACATGATGCGAGATATATGCATCAAGAGAAGGGGTTCAAAATAGCCAACAAAAGGCCTACTATATAGGCCAGACAGAACCACTAAAATTAACACAGACTAGCGACCGCGCTGTTTTCATTCTATATTTCTATTCAAACATATATAGTGTTTATTCCTATTTTTGCAGATCTTATTAATTTTCATAGCTCTATCTTGACTAATAGATCTTTGGGGGGTTGGAGTTAGGTGCCCTTGAAGGCACGGGACACATATTTATATAGAGGGTGCTACCTTTTCTCATATCGTTAACTATATTTTTTTGTATCATTGGACAATTTTGGTATATGATACTTTGTAGCACTGGTTATTGCTACTTGATTTTTACATGTGTCTTTGTTCTACTCTCTCCCTCCTAGCTATTCTCATGTATGCTTTACTGTCGGTACAGCGATTATTGGCTGCTGCCGTTCTATATATACCCCTTATATCTAGTTAATTAGTGGTATCCTTCGATTTAGATTACCACTTTAACCACTTCAATACTGGTTTGAATATCAGCTCAACGTTCATTTAATGATCTCATTTTTCTTTTACTGATATTTATGACTTCTTCTCAGATATTTAAAGGACCTATATAGTCCAATAGCATTTTCTGATATTTCAAGCAACAGACTTTATAATCTATTGTTGAACCACCAGGGTGTTTGAATGTATGGCACATCATTAGCCACTATGGACAGGAACAGCTTTCTAGATTATGTCACACTCACTGGTTGATAGGACCTATATTAATCTACTAGCTTAGTTTTGGTCTCCATAGTACCAGACCACACCACTGATTATTCATCCATTAGATCGGCATTCTGCTCTTCTAACCTGACTTATTACCAGCTACTACCGATAGTAATAGTTTCTTATATTTTGATCTGCAATTATATTTTGTTTTTATTATTTTCATACGACCTGTATTTATATTTATATTTTAACTTTTTGGTGTTTATAGGTAGCACATATTTGGGTTACATTTTTGTAGTGTTTAATAAATCTTTATTATTTTTTGTTCTTTCATTTTAGTGGTTCTGTCTGGCCTATATAGTAGGCCTTTTGTTGGCTATTTTGAACCCCTTCTCTTGATGCATATATCTCGCATCATGTATTAGATACATTCCTCTTCTTGTATTTTTCATTTTCTATCAGGGGTTACCCCCCACTTCTATTGTGTATCTAATCTGGCTCTACTCACTTACTGTTCAGTTTAAAATTACAGGACCACTGCACCCAGGCCACTCCATTGAGACAAAAATGTCCTGGGTGACATTAGTGGTCCTTTAAGTATAGTGTCTTATGAGCGAATACATGAAAGTACAAACAGATGCAAATGGTTTAGAAAGTGCAGAATAAAGTGATATAATTCAGAATGAGTTGGAGCTCTATAAGAGTAGAGGAGCTATTCCTTGTCGCCATGCACCCTCAAACAGCATATCCCCTGTGTTTAAGCGCAACCGGTGATGGATGAACTGTCCAGCTTCGCTTATAACTCTTCTGTGTGTGAGCTTTTGTGATTTGTGTATGCCACAGGCTTCCCTTCAGATCAAAGGAATGGAGACAAAGAATTTGTAATCAGGAGAGCAGCGACAAACCGTGTGCTGAATGTACTGAGACACTGGGTGTCTAAACATGCACAGGTACCTTGAGAACCCCTGAAGTGGCACAGAGTTCTTTCACCCATGCAAATAACTAATGTGAATACCCTTTTTGCATGCAAATATACATTCCTATCTACAACGTTTTATTAATTTTCAAACAGCCTACCAACACCATTAGTTTCCAACAAAAATGAATAGCATCCCCTACCAACACATCTTTAATCATTTATCTCTACCCATTTCACCCACCTTTAAAATAGTCTCAACTTGATCACACTTCTTCTACTTGCTGGTGTATTTCTGTATTGTCATATTTTATAGTTGTGTCTGTATGTATTTTATGTTTTTCTCAGGATTTTGAGACAAACCTACAGCTAAAGACCAAAGTGATCTGTTTTCTCGAGGAGGTAATACACAACCCTGAGCTACTGGCCCAGGAAAGGAAGGCAGCAGCCAATATTATTCGGTAAGACGCGCATCCAGCTCTGAGCTATTAGACTATGTAAGAGGGAAGTAGGAATATCAATTGGTGAGGGACCCACTTTGATATGGAACTCTTAGTTATTAGTCTTATATCAGAAAAAATCAGCAATATCTTTCTTTGAGACAATCACACTTGTGGCCCAGGACGATTAGCCCAATATAAGAAGGTGGCATAGATTACCGTTATCTTAATTACTTGTGATTTTAAATGCACCAACATGTTACCAAGCAAAATGCATTGGAATGCAGTTTCCAAGAAGCTGATTAACAATGAACCTTATGTGAAATAAACCGTTACAGTATGTATGATTGGAGTGAAGGCGCAGGTAATAAATAAGGTGAAGAAACAGTTAAACATGCAAGGTATATTGCTGGCAGCTAAAACCTGTACTTAGATGAAGTGAAGGCAGCTAAAATATACAGCATATATTGCAACTCAAGTTGGGAAGTTGTAGAATAAAACCGACATTTGAGATCTAACATTACACACAGTATGAATATTGCTTAATGATTGGATACAGTCCAAAAGTTCGAGAAATTAATACAAATGAGTCTTTATAGCCAGAAAATAGTGGCCCAGATAATATAGTACTGACAAATCCAAAGTCCAAAGAAAATGTACAAGATGTAAAAAACCACTATTAGATCACAGTAATAGATCTAAAGTGGCAGGATATTCACTGCAATATAAGTTTAATTTTATCAAGTATAGATTGGATAAACAGGATCTCCGGGCAGGGCCGGATTAACATAGGGGCTGATGGAGCTGCAGCTCCAGGCCCAGGCCCAGGCCCAGGCCCAGGCCCATGGAATAGGCCCATTGATTTTGAAAAAGAAAAAAAATATATATATTTTTTTACTTTATTTTTATTTTTTTTACACATTACTCTTAGGGTTGCTACTTGGCTGGTATTTTATGGTATTTGAGGCTGCCTGGCCAGTGCTAGTATTGCAGTAAAACCGACAATACAAATGCAGGCATATTTCTATGTATAAACAGAGATTACTCTGCAATACCTGCACCGGCCAATAGGGGTCACTGTGTGTGGAGAGAGGCAGGGATAGGTAGTTACAGCATATCCCTGCCTCTCTCTACACACTGATCCATGGGGGAGCAGCTACACAGCACAGAGAGTCCAGACAGCAGCTCCCAGTCTGCAGAGACAGCCTACAGCTCAGGGAAGTGAGGGATGGGATAAAGGCTGCAGGGAGACATGGGGACACTGGGAGAAACTAGGGGACACTGGGTGACCTGGGAACACTGAGACACTTGGGGACACTGAGAGACCTGGGGACACTGGAAGATCAGGGGACACTGAAACACATGTGGACGTTGTGAGACACTAGGCACATGGGGACACTGGGAGACATGGGGACACTGAGACACTGTGTCCCTAGCATCTGTGTCCCCATGTCTCCTAATGTCCCCAAGTCTCTGTGTCCCTAGTGTCTCAGTGTCCACATGTCTCCCAAAGTCTGTGTCTCCCAGTGTCCCCTAGTGTCAAAATGTCTCACAGTGTTACCATATCTCTTAAGTGTCCAAGTGACACTGGGCAACATGGGGACACGAGGGGACACTGAGACACATGGGGCACTGAAACATTGTGATACATTGGGACACTGTGATACATAGAAGACACTGAGATATGGGGACACATGGGGCACTGAAACATTGTGATACATTGGGACACTGTGATACATAGAAGACACTGAGACATGGGGACACATGGGGCACTGAAACACTTTGGTACATAGGGGACACAGACACTAGGGGACACTGGGAGACATGGGGACACTGAGACACTGTGTCCCTAGTGTTTGTGTCCCCATGTCTCCTAATGTCCCCAAGTCTTTCAGTGTCCCTAGTGTCTCAGTGTCCGCATGTCTCCCACTGTCCCTATGTTTCAGTGTTCCCTAGTGTCAAAATGTCTCACAGTGTTACCATGTTTCTTAAGTGTCCCCTAGTGTCCAAGTGACACTGGGCAACATGGGGAAATGAGGGGGCACTGAGACATTGTGATACATAGGGACACTGTAATACATAGAAGACATGGGGACATGAGGATACACTGGGACACATGGGGCACTGAAACACATAGGGGACACAGACAGTAGGGGATACTGGGAGACATGAGGACACTGGAAGACTAGGGGACACTAAGACACTGGGAGACAGGGAGACACTGGTAACAATCCATCTTTTATTCAGCAGAATAAATGTGAGTAGTTTTTTGGTGATTTTACAGAATTTTCTCTTAGGTCACTCCTTGTGATTTACACACATACATAATTAATTATGCAAATTAGTAAGGCCGGTATTTTTTTCCAAGAAAGGTGGCAACCCTAACTATCCTTCACATACTCTTGCTTAAGTATGTATGGTGAACAAAACTTGTGCTGTCTGGCTGACAATGAAATTAGTTAAGGTAAAGCTGACTTTGTGCACAATGCAAATGATCTTGCTGCTTCAGTCTCTCTAACACTGTGACATGTTCCTTTTCTTCTACACTCACTACATGCAGCTGTTCTCTGTCCCAGACTATATACCATGAGCTTCTGCCTGCTAGTAAGGAGGTTAGGAGGGGAATGGACCAGCGAGTGCTAGGGCACAGTCCTTAGAAATCGTGGAGCGAAATCATCGTTAGACACATTTATGCCAAGCTCAGGGTGCTGTCTGCATAGTTTGCCCTTAGTTGGCCAGCCTGCATGATTGGCAGGTAGCCTGACATGCATTCATGCCAGGCTGGCCTTCCAATTCATTAGGCAGACATTAAGGCATGTTCGCCTTTTTCGGCAGTTCTGATTACATGATTTGCGTCAGTGGCCCACCCTTTTACCCTGTCCTGCTTCACTGGACACTGCTGTTAGGGGTATGGATTTACTTGAAATATGAAAGCATAAATTAGACAAGGATTAGCAGAGAGTGTGTGTTTTCTCATGGCTGCACCCTATGAATTTCCCTTCAGCACCACTTCTGCCAGATACATGACTATTGGTAGTTATGACTGTTTTAGTGTTTTTGGTCGATAAGATTCTGTAATTAGGCCCATCATAATTGTCAGCACCAGGCCCCCTGGGCACTTAGAAAAATACAAAAGGGATAAGTGCTGCGCCCGAGGCTATAATCAGTAATCTATAATAACAAACAACCAGACCAAATGGTCTAAATGGAGATACAACAAAATAGGCCTATATAAAATAGAACAATGAAAAAAGTCCCAAGCGCACAATAAAATTCGAAAATAAAAATGGTAAATAAAAGTCACATAAAAAGTCTCTCTATATACCAGGATAAGGGGGGAAGTTGGCAATCCTCAGGAGTTGATCCGTCCAGATGGTTTAAATTATCGGTATATGTGGAGAGAAAGGGAAAACGACAAAATAGCCGATGGTGTAATATCGTCAGAATCCAGTAAAAAATAATTAAAATGAAGGTAATACACTCACATTTAAAAGAGCTCTAGCCAGCTCTGGGGTAAAGGGCATGTAGCGGTATGATCCCCACTAACGGATATAGTGGAGAGGTATGTCCGTCAATCCAGTCTGGTTAGGCAGTGCTCCAAGGCACTGGCGTACATACCAGGGTCGCAGGGGTCGCGACTGCGACCGGGCCCGGCCCACCAGGGGGCCCGGCCGCCCCTGCGACCCGGTATGTACGCCCAGGGCCAGCCTCTTCCCCTGGGGGGCCCAGGAGCCGGCCACCCCAGGGCCCCCTGAGGCTGGCCCTGCTGACCCCGGGTGGCCGGTCAGGCAGGCGGGCGCGCGAGGGAGCACTCAGTGCTTCCTCTTCAGCTCCCTCGCGCACCGCAATGATACCGGAGCCGGAAGATGACGTCATCTTCCGGCGCCTGCATCCCTACGCGGCGCGCGAGGGAGCTGAAGAGGAAGCACTGAGTGCTCCCTCGCGCGCCCGCCCGCCTGCCTGCCCGACCGGCCACCCGCCCACAGTGACCTGCCGCCCAGGGAATCCCCCCAGCACTCCAAAAGGTAAGGAGGCTGGGGGGATTATATTAAAAAAAAAAAAAAATCATGTGTGAGTGTTAGTGTGAGTGTTAGTGTGTGTGTTAGAGTGAGTGTTAGTGTGTGTGAGTGTTAGTGTGAGTGTGAGTGTTAGTGTGTGTGAGTGTTAGAGTGAGTGTTAGTGTGTGTGAGTGTTAGAGTGTTAGTGTGTGTTAGAGTGAGTGTTAGTGTGTCTGCTAGTGAGTGTTAGTGTGTTAGTGTGTTACTGTGTGTGTCTTACTGAGTGTGTGTGTGTTAGTGAGTCTGTTTGATGTCTGTTAGTGAGTGTGTGTTTGTCAATGAGAGTGTATGTTTTGTGAGTGAGTGTGTATGTATGTCTGTCGCTGACTGTGTCTCTGTCAGTAAATGTGTGTGTCTGTTAGCTAGTGTGTATGCGTCTGTAAGTGAGAGTGTGTGTGTCTTCAGCACTTACCTTTCTCCAGCGCCGGACTCCCTTGGCGCTGAGGATCCCTCAGCCTCTCAGCTCCGAATGCGACCGCGCACGCATTCAAACCGCCCATAGGAAAGCATTACTCAATGCTTTCCTATGGACGTTCAGTGTGCTCCTCTAGCGGCTGTCCAGTGAGACAGCCACTAGAGGCTGGATTAACCCTCAGTGAAACATAGCAGTTTCTCTGAAACTGCTATGTTTTCAGCTGCAGGGTTAAAACTAGAGGGACCTGACACCCAGACAACTTCATTGAGCTGATGTGATCTGGGTGTCTGTAGTGGTCCTTTAAAGGACCACTATAGTGCCAGGAAAACATACTCGTTTTCCTGGCACTATAGTGCCCTGAGGGTGCCCCCACCCTCAGGGACCCCCTCCCGCCCGGCTCTGGAAAGGGGTAAAACTTACCTTTTTCCACCGCTGGGCGGAGAGCTCTCCTCCTCCGATCCTCCTCTTCTCCTCCCCGTCGGCTGTATGCGCACGCGCGGCAAGAGCTGTGCACGCATTCAGCCGGTCACATAGGAAAGCATTCATAATGCTTTCCTATGGACGCTGGCGTGCTCTCACTGTGAAAATCACAGTGAGAAGCACGCAAGCGCCTCTAGCGGCTGTCAATGGGACAGCCACTAGAGGAAATAGGGGAAGGCTTAACCCATTCATAAACACAGCAGTTTCTCTGAAACTGCTATGTTTATGAAAAAATGGGTTAACCCTAGCTCGACCTGGCACCCAGACCACTTCATTAAGCTGAAGTGGTCTGGGTGCCTAGAGTGGTCCTTTAAGTGTGTGTGCATCTGCATGCACTGGCGTACATACCGCGGTCGCAGCCCTGTAACCCCTGCGACCAGGTGCCCACCGCCATGTGTTGCGGCCCGGCCCGCGCGGGGGCCCACGGATCAATTTTCGCACCGGGGCCCCATGGGTCATGTGTACGCCACTGCTCCAAGGTATATATAAGAAAACAGCGATAGTGCTCTCGGTATATAATGGAATAAAAATAAAGTATATAAAATTTACTTACAAGTATAAAGCAGAGGATACTGCTCTATTAACTCAGTGCTGGTGGAATAATCCCCACCTCGGATTTCTTTGGTACAGGATACAGGATAAAATAGAAAGATGCCAGGAGAATAAAAAAGTGCAAATAAAATACAAAAAAAAGAGAATTGGTATAAAAATTTAATAACCAAAAAACTTTTATTGCTTAAAATACACAGTTTAAAACCATTAATGCGTTTCACCATAAAAAGGCTTTATCAAAATTGCTAATATACCTATATTATGCTAATTAAATAAACCCAAATCACATTCCGAATATAAATAAGAAACTGTTATTTACTCTGTAGTACACACACAGTTATGTATTCTCAGTATTTCATGTTTTTAACACTTTGAATATTTAATCTTTAGCACTTTGACTCAAGAGGATCCTGGAGACAGCCTGGTTACCTTGGAAGAAATTGAGCATATGGTGAGTTCAAAAACAATATTGTATCATGTTAGGGATATGTAGGATACAGAGCGACAATATTGAAAACTAGGAATAGAATTTTGGGGGTTGTCTAAGTGGTAGACCTCTTTTATAATTCTATATTTCATTTGGTACCATGATGTTGGAGCATTAAACAGATGTGTGTTACGTATTATATTGTTTGTTAGGCACAGTCAACAGTAACTCCAGCAGAACCTTTTGAGTCTCTATCTGCTCTTGAGATTGCTGAGCAACTCACATTATTGGATCACCTGATCTTCAGAAAGATACCATATGAGTAAGCTGCACATGCCCCTAATTCTCACTTTGCATTTTCTTTTATTCTTAATAACTGACTTTTGCCCAATTTATGTGCACGACGACTTCTCTCATAAAACCTCATGTACATGCTTTTTGCATACACAATTACCAGTTCTCTGATCGTTTCTACAACCTTAATGTCCACCATTCCAACCATCCATAACACTTAAATAATATCATACATACACTGTTTCCACAGAAAACAAAACTTTGATTGTTTGTAGGATACTAATAAAGCATTGTCATCTATGGTCTTTGGTCTGTCCTCCATGAAATCATTTAGCTGCACTTTGCATCATGCATCCTTTAAATCCACACTGAATGCACTGTGCATCCCTTTCTCAACACCTGTGTACACACTAGGCATTTCTCATTCACCTCCCACATACAGAATGCATCTCTCATTCCACTCCCATGTGCATCAGGCATTCTTCATAGAACCCCATCCCTCCTTATAATGCTTGCACACATGCTTCGCATATAATATATATATTTATTTTTTTATCTTGCCCCGACAGGGAATTTTTTGGTCAGGGTTGGATGAAAGCTGACAAGTGTGAGCGGACCCCTTATATCATGAACACCAGCAAACACTTCAATCACGTGAGTTTCAAGACTGTACAAGATCTATGGGAAGAGTTCACTGACAGTCTAGAGATATTGCATATAAAAATATGAAATATATATCAATAAAAATGCTGATGATATTGTTTTCAAATGGAGGTTTCAAAGCAATTACAGAGCATTACCAATAAGATATGTTCTAATAGTATTTACAAGGATAATAATCATATATCTGGTAATATTTCACAGATGAGTAACCTGATTGCCACTGAAATTCTGCGGAACGAGGAGCCAATGACACGTAGTAGTACCATTGAAAAGTGGGTGGCGGTGGCTGATATCTGTCGATGTCTTCACAATTACAATGCAGTTCTAGAGATTACATCCTCATTAAACCGCAGTGCTATCTTTCGGCTTAAGCGTACCTGGATGAAGGTGTCCAAGCAGGTACACCCAGCTCTCTAAAAGTACAAAACATGTATTCCTCAGTAAGTAGACAGTAACAGGTATGAACAGTAAGAATAGCATGGAATAAGCAGGAGTCGCTACACAAATGGGTTACAAATACAATAAAATATGAATTGCCTACAACAGGTAGGAGTTGGTACCTGGATATCAGGAAACATAGTGACACAAGCACTTCCAGAAACACACAAGGAGCAACAAAGGTAACTTTTCCTTTTAGATTATACAGGGAATATCATGGGGCAAAGCACTAATTAGAACACTATACAGGAAGTTGTAGAAGGGCAGGTAGACAAAAAGTGACTGCACTGGGAGTAGCAGCAATAGCGAGAGAGACTGCGAAAGGTTGACATAATAAACTAAAACCGAGAGGTTAGGAAGTAGACAGAGATTCCATGTATGTAATCGGCTAACGTTCTGGAAGATATCTAAGATGCCTGTCCACAGCTGACATAGCATAAGCAATAGGTCAAACCAAGGGGAGTGTGACTTGTCTCTTACCCCTAGTCATTATGGGGTAAGTGAAGTCAGTAAAGCTAATGATTACAGATTAAGGAGTTTAGAAGCCTGTTGGTGTTTTGCCACTAAAATTTTGTTTTTATAATAAAATAGCATTTCTTTTTATTTGCCCTCTTTTGGTAACCTGTATATTATTATTTTATTATTTCTATAGTGCCATCAGATTCCGTAGCGCTAGTCATCTAACACCATCTAATCTTTACCTACAACAATATTATCCATTGATAAAATATGCAGGTCTGTCTGTTTACCGTCTTTTGGATCTCTATGTTTTGTACCAACTTTATAAATTCATCTTCACCAGAGAATGTAATAAAAACTTCTACCAACTGATGCCATTAGGATCCTTCAGACATGCAGCAAGTCTCTTTTCTTAATTGCCCTGTTCTTTTTTCCTGTTATTAAACTCTTTATGATTCTATTTTTCCTATCATAATTCCTCCAGACTAAAACTTTAATTGACCGGCTTCAGAAATTGGTATCTTCAGAAGGCCGATTTAAGAACCTGAGAGAGGCCCTTAAGAAGTAAGTTCGGAATATAAAAAACACATATTTAATTTACTACAATGCAGAGTACATGTGCAGTGTTTTATTTTGGGAGAAATACAAATGTTTTCTATGAGATGATGTTACTTTAAACTGTCTTTGAAAAATGTTGTAAGATTAATTTGCTTAGCAAATGATTATTTATATATAGATTGAGGATAATATTGTTCTATCAACCACTTCTCTACTATAGAGTATTGTGTCTTTAATTGACCCACATTACAATAATATCATCTTGCATAGAATTTTTTTTATTAACTAATAAAACAATAATATCGTTACAGAATATTACATCAAATCTTCCTTTGCGTAACATTATATCAATAAATCCTCCCTTGTAGGGTATTTTGGCAATAAATCATCCTGCAGAATAATATACCAGTGAACTATTGTCTGCAAAACCTTTTATCCAAACGTGATCTGCAGAAATGTCAATACTTACTACACAGAAGTATTATTATCATTATTGGCATTTATATAGCGCCAACAAATTCCGTAGTACTTTACAAAATTATAGGAGGGAGAGATTTAACAATAAATGAGACAATTACAAAAACTTACAGGAATGATAGGATGAAGAGAACTCTGCTCAAAGAGCTTACAGTCTAGAGCAGGGGATCCCAATTAATTTTTCCCGTGGAACCCTTTGACATAATGCGCTAACAACGTGGAACCCCCAAAAACTTTTGGTGCCGTAGCACAGATAGTAAACAGATAGTAGTACTTAGTAACAGGTGTGCTTTTGTGTGTACAGTTGGTGATTGTATATAATAGAATTTTGATACAGGGGTGTGATTGTATGTAATGTTTACATTTGAGTGCAGGGGTGTGCTTGGATGTAGTGTTGGCTTTTAAATGTACATTTCTGTGTAGTATTAGTGTTTGAGTGAAGGGTGTGTTTGAATGTTTGCATATAAATTAGACCTTTAAATCCAGGGGGTTTTGTATGTAAATGTTTGTGCTTGCAAGAGTGTGTTTGCGTGTTGTGTTTGATTGCTGGGATGTATGCACATATACTGCCACGTACATACAGACACACATATAAACATGCACAGACTTTGACACACACATGCACACTGGCACACACACACACACACACTCAGATACATACACACAGTGACACATACACAAACCTTGATACACACACTGACACACACTCAGATGCGCACATTGGCACATACAAACAGTAACACATACACAAACCTTGACCTACAGATACACACAATGGCACATACAAACATAAACACACACACCTTGACATACAGATACACACACACACTCAGATACAGATACTGGCACATACACACACTCAGATGCACACAGTGACACACAAATACTCAGATACACAAAGTGACACATACACATACTTGCAGCCACAGATATACATACTGGCAGATACACACAGTGACACATACGCAAACCTTGACCCACAGATACACACACTGTCATATACACACTGACATATACACATTGGCACATGAAAGTACACTGATACACACCGGTACATACATACACACACACACAGTGACACATACACACAGACAATCTGACTTACATCAGAGCAACCCTCATGTTAACTTACCTTGTGGTCCTGGTGATGTTGGCTGAGGCTGATGGGAGTGAGCTGCTGCATGCTCACTCCAGCCTCTCCTCTGCCTTGCATGCTGCTCCCTTTCTGGGATGCCGTCTCCAGCCTCCTCCTCCCTTCCTACTACGCGGCAGCAAATCTGTGAAGCTGGGAGGAAGTGCTGTCACTTCCTCCCAGCCAGCCGATACTACAGAGGCCCGGTCAGGCTCATAAATGGCCGCGGCACCCGACCGGGCCCCTATTAAGCGATCAAATCGCGGCAGCTGTTTTGTTTCGCGAAATTACGGTGCAACCCCATTTGTGTTCTCGCGGAACACCAATTGGGAAACGCTGGTCTAGAGTATAAACAGAAATCTTCTACATATCTATGCAGTACAGACACAGTATTCCGAATTGCAATTTATGTAAACTTCTTACTGCACATAAAACCATGTAACAAATACTACAATACAGAAAGATCATATTGCATGATGAGTGTGAAAACAGTTACAGAGCTTTTGCAAAATGTTCTAATTAATTTGTACTCTGAATTCTTCGTCAAGCATGCTGAGGCTATATGTGCCTCTGGCTCGCTGTTGAGCATTGCAACATTAATTAATTTGTTATTGAGTACTTAAAAACTGTAAGATATCTGAAGAACATAACCATCCAGATGACATTACAGCATGTTCTTACCATATGCAGACCATTGTATATTGAACTAACAGGGAAGTAACTGTATCATTCAAAATTAAATTCTACTTGAGAGAGTATTATTCGTGTCCGATCCTTGTTATGTTTGAGTATTTTTCTGTATTCTCAGCTGTGACCCTCCATGTGTCCCCTATTTGGGAATGTACCTGACAGATCTGGCATTCATCGAGGAAGGGACACCAAATTACACAGAGGATGATCTGGTTAATTTCTCCAAGATGAGGATGGTGAGATACAGTATTAATACAAACTCCATTCACGTTTGCACATCACATGCATATTGCACAGCAGCTTTCAAAGATCATGTTTACATTATTGTCACAAAATGAATATTATGCTGAATATGTAAGTAATGAAACAGGCTTGCCTTTTTTTAGATTTTCAACTCAGGTTTATGCAGATTCCCTTGGGATTAATATGCTATGCTAATATATAGCTTTTTATGCCAATAAATGGGTTACTATCGGAACAGACTAAATGACTAACTATGGCTCGCACAGTTTCATACTCTTTGGACTAATCAGCATGGCGTAGCTCTGTTCCAGTGGTGGGACACTATCCAGCAACATATAGTTAAACATTATTAAAGTAGTGATAGTACCAAAAAGTTATATCTGAAATGTAGTGTTTTTCATCACCTGCATATCCCAAGGCAAACTTTACAAAAAGTTAATTTCAGACACAGCTTTGTCTTTGAGTATTCAACTAATGTATGTATACAACAATATGTTTTAACATTTACTGAAGTCGTTTTGAAGCTCTTAATCACTTTTTTATCCCCATTACAGTATTATGACAGGAAATTCCTTCTTCTATAAATTCATTATTTTCAGATCTTTGAGTATTTCTCAAGCTCCTCTCTATGCTTTAGCTACCATTTTACTTTCCATTAAGCAAAATTAAGTTCAAGTTTCTCCTGTGATGAACACGATTACACCTTAGTTTTGATTAGATTAGATTCAACTTTATTACCATTGTACAGTGCACATATAAAGACAATGAACCATAGTTGGCACCTGATCAGAAACACAGTAGTGATTAATAAAAATCCAATTAAACAGAGAATGTAACTCTGTGAAACGTATAACAGTCCAGATAATATCATAATACATCTATATCTAATAATATAATCCCTAACTCTTTACTGTAACAGACCAGTAATACATATAGTCATTACACAACAGTGCCCTCGATATTATAGGATACGACTATATAGCCTACCATCTACATCTGACTAAGACATTTATCGAATGTAAACTCGTACATCACATACAAGTAAGTGCATCAGACTACATATACACTTAAAGGACCACTCTAGGCCCCCAGACCACTTCAGCTTAATGAAGTGGTCTGGGTGCCAGGTCCAGCTAGGGTTAACCCATTTTTTCATAAACATAGCAGTTTCACAGAAACTGCTATGTTTATGAATGGGTTAAGCCTTCCCCTATTTCCTCTAGCGGCTGTCTCATTGACAGCCGCTAGAGGCGCTTGTGTGCTTCTCACTGTGATTTTCACAGTGAGAGCACGCAAGCGTCCATAGGAAAGCATTATGAATGCTTTCCTATGTGACCAGCTGAATGCGCGCGCAGCTCTTGCCGCGCGTGTGCATTCAGCCGACGGGGAGGAGAAGAGGGGGATCGGAGGAGGAGAGCTCTCCGCCCACGCTGGAAAAAGGTAAGTTTAACCCCTTTTCCCCTTTCCAGAGCCCGGCGGGAGGAGGTCCCTGAGGGTGGGGGCACCCTCAGGGCACTATAGTGCCAGGAAAACGAGTATGTTTTCCTGGCACTATTGTGGTCCTTTAATACAATCTAGTGCAAATCAAGTTTGACTTGCAAATTAAGTGCACACTTCTTAACAAAGTTGGGACTGTTACAAATTATTAAAGTCAGGTGGCATGAGGTGCTGTCTTCAAGACATATACATGCATATACAGAGACAAAAACCCAGACTTACAGATGCATGCTCACACAGACATTCCCAGACACAGATACATAATCCAAGACAAACACACAGATGCATAATTAAATGGGAGTGCTATAGACGAGATTGTGAGTGCATAGTACCTTCCAGCCCCCCTTAAGAACCACTGCTGTGGAAAAGGAACTCATATTTGCCAGGTTCTAGATCTGCATGTTATGAGGCACTGTGCGTGTGTATATATGTATGCTGAATTCTGTTTTTGTGTTTGGTTTCAGATATCACACATTATTCGTGAGATTCGTCAGTTTCAGCAGACTTCTTATAAGATCGAGCACCAGCCTAAGGTATTTCAGGCATGTGATTTTCGATTTAACCTAATTGCTCTGATGTTGAATGAAAATATGAACAGAGTTTGACTTGTTTAAAAAAAAAAAAACATACAAAAATGAATGTAAATTTCCTTTACGGTTCAGTTTCAATCTACTGATATGCAAAACATGTCACGAGACAAGTTTAAAAGTTAATTCTTAATTTACCCATTATGGTGCTTATACAATTTGTTATAAAATGAATAGAAAATAATTTCACAAAAAGTGACTTTAAATGCAACAAAATTAATATACATGATGCCCAAAATATACTAAAGACCCATATTTATAAATTATCCTACAATAAATTTTAGCAAGTTGCTTAGTGACTAAATTTACAAAAGAGACACCATGAGCCCCATAACCAACTACAAAACACTGAAGTGGTTATAGTGCCTGTAGTTCCTAGGCGCCATCTGGTGGTAAGCTGTAAAACCTGTCTGACCAACACCAGTAGTCCTAGTGATTTGAGCTGTTATGGTTAAGTTATGATTAAAGGACCAGTATAGGCACCCAGACCACTTCAGCTTAATGAAGTGGTCTGGGTGCCTGGTCCAGATAGGATTAACCCTTTTTTTTATAAACACTGAGGGTTAATCCAGCCTCTAAAGCCTCTAGTGGCTGTCTCATTGACAGCCGCTAGAAGCGCTTGCGTGCTTCTCACTGTGAAAATCAGAGTGAGAAGACGCCAGCGTCCATAGGAAAGCATTATGAATGCTTTCCTATGAGACTGGCTGAAAGCGCGCGCGGCTCCTGCTGCACATGCACATTCAGCCGATGACGTCGCTGGAAGAAGGAGAGGAGGAGGAAAGCTCGCCGCCCGGCGCTGGAGAAAGGTAAGATTTTAACCCCTTCCTCTCTCCAGAGACCTGAGGGTGGGGGCACCCTCAGGGCCCTATAGTGCCAGGAAAAAGAGTATGTTTTCCTGGCACTATAGTGGCCCTTTAAGTTCACAATATCACAGTATCATACTAACTCATACGAAGATATAACACTATGCAATAACTTACCAAGTTTTAAAACTAATCAATAACTCATACGAAGATTTAACACCATTCAATAACTCATACGAAGATTTAACACTATTCAATAACTCATACCAAGTTTTAACACTATTCAATAACTAAAATTTTGATGGATCTCAACTGATGAAGTATGAACCTCTGCTATGTCACACCGACTCAGATTGGAAGCAGCCAGATGCCCAGCAGAGACAGGTAAGTGTCAAAAGATTCTAAAATGGTTTGACTGTTACTGTCAGATTGTGCATGGGGAATCCTGGCAATATAACCACTACAGCACACTGTATTGGTTATGGTACATGGGGTTTCTAAACTCTAGGGTCTCTTTAATAAACACTGAATTGTAAAGAATTATAAACTGAATTACAAAACTGAGGCTATAGATTTTGTTGTTTGAGTTTTGCAATGTGGCTTTCAATTTTCACTTTAAGGTATTATTTAGCAAATAAATCATATAATATTTATATATTTATTATTTTTCCAAAAATAAATGTCAAAGGATGTAAACGTGAATGGAAATTTACCCATGCAAAGTTTAACTGCCAACATTTCAGAAAATTCCAGGGACACTTGGCAGAGCAGAGCAAACCAAACCAATTAACAGAGCTGATCATGCCCAGTGACTTTTGACAGCTCTGCCAATTCTCTACCAAAGCTAATACTTCTTGTTTTATAAACGCCCACCCACTTTCCTGTTATAATGACAGGAGAGTTCTTTCCGCCATTGGCTACAACACCATCACTGTTGCTTTCTCTCTCTTTTTTTTTTTTTATTACCCTAGTATTCCTGATCACTCAATCTTTGTCATTTTATGTCTTTCCCTTTTGTAGTTTTCTACATATCTTTCTCTGACTCAGTCACTCTCTTACCCTGTAAGAGGTTTCACAGAGAAACAAAGAAACACAAAATGACACAGAGTTTCAGTCTTTCTCTGTCTCTCAATGTGATGCTTTATTCATTCAACCCTCGAGGGCTGGGTTTACATTACATCTCAGGTGCCTTTTAAGAACAGAAATCTCAAATTCTCAGTGGACCCACTGACACCCTCTTTCCCCCAAGAAAATAAATAATTGATGCAAAACAATTGCCATGCACTGATATGAAAGTACACTGCAAGCTTGTATAGAGGCACCCAACGTGTAAATATAAAGGTGAGATTTCAATAACAATAATGTCCATCATCATGCACACAATGAAGGTAAGAAAATTCAGGTACGTGCAATGAACATACAAACTGGACAGAAATGTTTCAAATTAGTGGACACCGAACTAACTTCCTATAATAACCCACTTAGAAGCTGCACACTTAATGTTATGACTCAGGAAACTGGCATTAAAAAGTAGGAAGCCCGACCAGTCAACCCATACAACAGGCATCAGGGCTGGAGTTCCCAGAAACAATCTCAACAATGATGACAAAAGTTAGGTAAATCATGGCTTATATTTTAAAAATAACTAATACAGAATTTGCACTAGCAATATCTAATATAGCCACTAGAGGGCCATAACGCTCTTGCAGCCACAATGCTGGCAAAGATTTAAAGGAGATGTAGTCCACATCATCTGGAGTTCCAACGGTTGCATACACCTGTCCTAGAGAGTTGCTGAGCAATACTATGGCATTGTCAATCTACAAAACAACTTCCATGAACCACAGCCACCAGTTGTCCTTGTTGCCTGAAGCCCTCAGATGCTTTTTCACACAGCATCTATCATCAGCACACATTGTGAGAAATAAGTAGACAGAAGTAATGGACAGTCCCCGGTGCTTTATTTTTCAGAAGGTATATCAAGGAGTGTGATATACAAAGGCTTCTCAAAATGAGGAGCAAAATATACTTCCTGCTCATCTGTGGATTACGGGAAATACCATTTTTGCATCTCAGGACTGTCACTTGAAAGTACCCTAATGGCAGACTTGTCCTTCCAGTAGATAATCTTAGGGATCACACAATTTCTCTATTACCGGTGTCTCAACTTCAGTATACCTGGTTGTCACTGGTCATATCTTCCTCCTTCGTGGGAGCTGTAGATTCATATTGCCAGATTCGTGCATGCGCAGACACACATCAGTACTCTCATACACAAAGGCACATCTAGCTATCATTGCAAAACAGTTTGCTCCAAGGCGTCTAGCATCATAACCACTACAGCGGTCTGTATAGGTTATGATTCTTGGAGTAACTCTTTACTTGTAACCTGTGTGTACCATGTACCATACAATTTTTAATATCAAATGATTGTAGCTACAAGAAACACCACCTATGTACTGTGTACCTTTCATGAAAAAAATGTATGTTATTGTAATGGAGATTGTTCCTTCTCTCCACAGGTTACACAGTATCTCCTGGACTCCTCATCAGTTCTGGATGAAGAGGGCCTTTATGAAGCTTCCCTCCGTTTGGAACCGAAACTCCCTACCTGAATTCTTGGTGTAAATCCCCTGCCTGTATCATATTGTACAGACCCCCCACGCCTCTCGCCAGACCCCACCATGCAGGGGTCACCAAACAGAGGCAGAGATGTCTGTGTCTCCATCCATCCCAAAATCCTAACTTCTCCTGAAGGAGATCCCACACTACCCCTCAACCCCAGTTTGCCCCAAAGACACTCCCAGGAAGAGGAACAGGGTGGAGACTGAGATAATTCTCAACAGGAGCACTATCCACTGTCCTTCCGCCTCCCTGTGTGTGGGGCAGGATTGAACTGCTACTGCTGTCTCCTATTGACTGCAAATGCAAGGAGATCAGAGCAGTGTGTCCATTTGCAGCAGCTCATCACCAAACCAGCGACCACCTTGTGCGAACATCCTTAATCATCAGCTATGCTTGAATGGAGTGGTTCATGGAGCAGGTCTCTTAAAATTAGGTTTTAACAAAGAAGTAATTAATGTATAGTAACTGTCAGTTTGATTCAGAGAGCACAAGTGAGGTTACCCTATTCTTCCTCAGGAGTGGAAGATACAAAATATCAATTAAAGAGACCTTATTGCTACACACTAACAGCACACCTCCCATGAAGTGATCAGTCTGGGTAGAACTCTGCTTGGCATAGCATGTGTCCCCCTCAGATAGTGCTAGCTCTGCAGATTCTGGATCCTGCTCCAGCTGGGCCATGTAGATCCAGAACAAATAGTAGTTTGGAATCTTTGCTGTCAGAAGAAAAGAAAAAATGCACAACGGATTCAGTGAAGAGATCACACAGCCTTTATCTGATTCATGGGCTAGGTCCAGTAGCTGCTCTACAGAATAAAAGTTACTGGATTTGTGGGAAAGGCACCCACATATGGTTTGATTATGGAAGTAAAGCTGGTTTAAGGAGGAAGACAAGATGGGTTTAATGGGATGATATACTATCAGTCCGTTTACAGCAGTGCTATGATTCATGTTGCTTGTCAGACGTTGAATTATACACCCTGGCTAAGGCTCATGAAGCTTGTTCTTAAGCAACATCTAGAGAGCTGCCTATCGTAGAACTAAAAGAGTATAGCGTACCGATGCAAGTTTTATAGAGCGATTCTGTAGTTAACATACGGGTTGGTTTCAACTTGATTATTGGTGAGATGAATTTAGTAAAGCAGGACAATGGTTTCTAAGTACAATTTGTTGGTTCTGTTGCCAGGATTGGTGGCTGGTTTAGACAAAAATTTGCAGCTACATTTTGTTTTCTTTATTTTTTGTATAATTAAGTGTTTCCTAATTACCTCTCACTAATAAATCTTTTATCTCAGGGTTACCACCAACTGAGTCTCCTTATTGTGTCTGTGGTGGAAATGAACTAAAAAGCGTATGAATCACTCCACCTTATCAAGATATAATAACAGATTGCAGCTCCTCGAAGTGCATGCTTTTTCAGAGTATGCAGACACTCAAATGTTTATCTTTTTAGAAAGCTTAACACTGCATAGCTTATTTTAGAACAAATCAGTGAAGTAATTAAAGTGGCTCTGTCATGTTCTCTCCTCCTTGTCCCATGGTATTTATTTTGCCCCTTTCCCCCAATGCTTGTCCGTTACCTTAGGCCAGTGTAACTTTCCATTTATCAACTTCCGCCAGTCCAACCATGTCTTTCTCTGCTGCATTGGAAGTCTCCATCCCTGCTATTCATTGCATTGCACTGTGTCGACTCTCGGGATCCCGCAAGTGTAAACACAGAGAGGTGATGGAAATTACTCCATTATGGAAGAAGGTAAGAGCTTCCAGCCAACTACAAAGTTGACAAAGGACATGTAGCTTGATTAAACCTCTGCCATTTGTCAACCTACAGGTTCTATATAGGGGAAGGTTTGCCCTACTTTTCCTTATCAACTTTTCAAACAGTCCCAGGGGGACACAATGCACCATTTAGCAATTAAAAAAAAAAAAGTGACAGCGCCACTTAAAATATTCAAAACCTTCAGACTGTAGACAATAGATGCAAGTCAAGACCATCTCTGTCTCACTTTCTACACTGAATTACTTAATTGTAGTGGATTATTCATTACACATGTATAAATTTCAAGTTAATACCATTTGGTCCAAACATTGTGCTTGCCAGATTACCAGCAAATGTGTATTAATTACCAGATTTTACTATTTCATGACGTAAAGTCATGATTTTATTAATGACACGGAAGAGAGTATTATGCTGCACTCTTTCTTTCTTTCTTTCTCTCAGCAGCAAACAAATAAAACCTTTAAAAAAATCATCCAACATATATATAACATCAGAGGTTCTAGTAACCAGAACAGCCAATGAGCATCCAGTCCTTGGCATAATAGGCGGTAAACATTAGATCACTTCCTCTTTCTTGCAATCCCAAAGAAAGACAGAACATCCAGAACCATGAAGAGAACAAATCCACAACAGGCAGTCAGAGCGGAATCACCAACGTGACCTTGAAGATAAGCTTCTAAGATAGAAACAATATGGTAATATCCAAGCCGTAACTGGATATATGCATCGTAATTTACAGCAAGTATATACTTCAATCATAATATAAATATATATATATATCATATAATAGTATACAAAATAGTTGTAGAGGATTAACCCACATTCGATAGAACCTGTATAAATCAACATGCATCATTGAGACTAACCGTGAAGCAACAACTTACCCAGCCAGTATGTCATCTGGGAAGGGTGGGAGGCATAATACTTGCCTCAGTGTCATTAATAAAATCATGACTTTACGTTATGAAATAGTAAAATCTGGTAATCTTATTAAGACGCGGAGGCTCCTATTATGCAAGTTTAAAGCTGTGAAATGACTGTTCCTGCAAAATGTTGAATCGGTTTGAAATAAAAATCTCAAAATGTAGATTCAGATGACCAGTCGGCAGCTCGCAAAATATCCTCTAAATGGCAGTCGATTGCTGAAGCTTTAGAAGCCATAGCACCACGCACCGAATAGGGAGAGAATATGGAAGTATCGATGCCGACCAGTGCAGGAGAGGATACTGGAAGGTATGGCTTGTGGAAGGAGATGAACAATTGTTGTTTCAGAGGATTCCATAAAGATTCCATAAACATGCCACAGGGCAAAGGAGAGGTCTCTCTGGAAAACCCAGGTAAAGAACAGACTTGGAAGAAGTTTTGGACGCCTCAATGTCAAGATCGTAGCTTTTCCTTCTAGAGATGTCAAAAACAATGCTTTCCAGAGTAAATGAACAAGCGTCCGTATCAAGAGCACGTACGTCAGATAATCTTTTTGCATGAGATTAGACAAAAGAGCATGACTAATTTAGCAGAGAGTTGTTTGAGGGATAGTAATCCATTGTCTGCCCATGACTCCAGAAAGCCATAACTTGGATATTGTCCCAGAGAGAAGAATAGCGAGGTAAAGGCGGATCGGAAAGACACACTCTGCGAAGTAGGCGACAGACAAAGGGATGTCGTCCGATAGGAATAACATCAATGCCTAGATGTCCGTCAGAAAGCGCAGAACGGTAAAGGTTAACTGTGCGGTATGCTTTCCCTGCTTCAAAAAGAGAAGTCAGAAAATGTAGGATGGATGTTAAAGGAGCCAATAGGGGATCCAGATCTCCCTTTTCAGGCACCAACCATTCCATGCATTCCAAACAGACTTATAAGCTTGCCTCATGCTGGGTGCCCATGCATTCTCGAGAAGTCAGAGAGTAGATTGCGGAACACCTGGGATTGACCAAGGTCCCCTGAAAACAGCCACACCACAAGACGTAGAAGGCCCTGGGGGATCAGTGGGTGAAACTGCCCATCTGGGTCTTGGAGGAGAGAATCGTACAATGGGAAAAGGCAAGGAAAATCAGTCATCTCCAACAGATGAGGGAACCACGGTTGTGACGGCCATAAAGGGGTCACAATAACCAACATGTCCTGTTGGCGACGTAGTTGAAGCAGGCAATGTGGAATCATTGCAAACAAGGGAAAGGCATAGTTTGTTGCCAGAGCCATCGGATTTGATCTCCAGCTGAAAAAATGAGGGATTTGAGCATTCAGATGAGAGGCAAAGAGTTCTATTACCAAAGGTCCCCACAAGTCTGCGATTTTCTGGAACATTAGAAGGTCCAGATTCCAATCGCTGAAGTTTTTCGATATGACGGGAATACCAATCTGCTGTGGTGTTGGAGAGGCCAGAGATATATTCCGCTGTCACCGAAATGTTGTGTATAAGGCAAAATTGCCAAAAATTGCGTGCCATGTTCGCTGAAACATTGTCCATCTTCAGTAGGATTGTGCAGTGGGAGTGAGTTGGAGAGAGGCTGCGTACAGCAAAGGATCTGGTCAGAAGCTCTAGGCAATTGATATGTGGGGTGGATTCTAGATCTGACCATCTGCTTCCCTTGGAGATATTTCCACAACGCTCACCCCAAAAGTGCAAGCTTGCATCCGATTCTATAGTCAGGTCTGGGGTCGCGTCCATTCCGGGCTTCCATGTGGAGAAGCCACCAATGAAGCTTGTCCTTCGCTTCCTTGTCTAACGTCACCATGTCTTCGTATGACGGTCCGCCTCTTAGGTAAGAGGCTTGTAGTCGTGAAAGTGCCCGATAATGGAGAGGGCCCGGGAATGTGGCTTGGATGGAAGCCGCTAGGATTCTGACTCGCACCAAATGTTTGAGGGATAGTAGGGGAACCTCCAACGTATGTCTGATTTCTTTTTTGATATTTACCAACTTTGATGTCGGTAGGTGTAAAGTCTGAAGCGTTATATCGACTACTAGTCCCAGGAATTTGGTACATTGGGAAGGAGCCAATGTGGATTTTTCCCAATTTATAAGGTTTTGTAGTAACGTCAGATGTGTGTGGAGGAGGCTGGCTGACTGAGCTAAAATGAGGATATCGTCCAGGTAGATAATAAGCCGAATGCCTCAACTCCTTAATAGGGCGACCACGGTTTCATTATCTTGGTGAAGCACCATGAGGCTGACAACAGTCCGAACGGGAGGCACCTGAATCTCCATTTTGGCCTTGTCACATGAACTGGAGAAAATTTTAATGTTGTTCTGTTATACGGACCGTGAGGTAAGCATCCTGTAAATCTAATTTGGCCATCCAATCCGCTGGTTGGAGTAAATCGCGAAGACAATGTACACCTTCCATCTTAAAATGGTGGTAGGACACACAACTGTTCAGTTGTAGGTGTATGACTGGGCTCATCCCTCCACCTTTTTTGGGGCCCTGGAAGAGATTGCTGACATAACCCAGGGTATTGGTTGGAATCTCTGTGATGGCTTGTTTGCGCATCAATTCTTGAATCTCCTTGGATACAAGCAGAGCATCTTGATGGCAAAAAACTATTTCCGTGGGGGGGGAAGGTTTGGACCAGGTGTGACCCAAAATCTGATAGCCTGTCATGGCCTGAAGGACCAAAGCATCTGAAGTCAGATGTGACCACACATGAGAAAAATGCATTCGTCTGCCCCCCACTTCCAGAAGGGGAAAAAGGGGGAGTGTTGACACTTACCATAAGGTTGTCTTCCAGAAGGAGCTCCTTGAATGCAACCTAGCGACCCAGGGTCTGCTCCTATGTGGGAAGAATGCTTGTGTAGCTTTGTGTTCTTGGAACCCAGCTCGTCCTGAATAGGAGCCTTGGTTCTCTCTGTAAGAACCTCTTTGTATACGGCTGGACAGATGGCTCCTTCCTCTTCCGGTCCCCGAAATTTTTTTTTTCTCATATTACTTTGTGCTTTATCCAAAGCCGTAAACGTGTATACAAATGACCCCAACTCTTTAACAAAAGTGTCACCGAAAAGTAACCCTTTGGCCTGACCAGCTTAGACTTGCGGCACTCAGTAGCCAGCACAGTATTTACATTGCCAACCACGCAGATAATCTGTTGGATCAAACTACGGATGGTGCCTCGGTCCAAATCCCAGTCGTCTTCAAACGCATCAAAAATTTTGGCAGCAGGGCCTAAAATGTCCAGGACCTTATCCTGACAGTGGGTCAATGAGAATTTCAAACCCTTTCTGGATTTTCATCCGGTTTTCCCTAAAAACTGAACAATTTTTGGATCTACACTTGGCGTTTTACACGCATCATCAGGGACAGTAGGGCGAGGGCATTCTGCCCGTAACTTGTTCCATGTGGCCTTATCCAAGGGCTTACGGACTCTAGAGGCGATTTATCTCGCCACATGTTCAGAAGGGCACTACTACACTGAACGCGGATGTCTTAATTCCTCTGGATCAAACGGGTAAACCCCGAGGATCCAAAATGTTTGCATCGTCGACAGAGTCCAACACACTTACCTGTGCCCCGGAAACCGTAGCTGGGAAGGTG